AGGGTGCGGGTTCGAAACCTGGCAAGTACCAATGTGATTGTTCCGAGCCATATGTACTTACTAGATTATTTAGAAAGCACTGACAGATGAAGAAATACATAGTGGGAAACCTGGACTTATAATATTATAAATATAGGTTTGAAATCGCCAATCCATCTTGAATAAGCGTGGTGATTAATGTTCGAACCTTCTCCATGTGAGAAGAGGCAGCTCAGCAGTGGGCTCTGATAGGCTGATGATGATGGTGACATATATGAATATAGATGTTTTATTAACGTATTACATATAATCAATTTTATTAATAAACTAAATGTGAATGTTTGTCAAGATCTAAGTATTTATGGTTTTATCATGCTGAAAGTATCTTAACGATTTTTTTTTATTATCACAAAGTCACGTAATTTTCATTTATTGAAGAAATAAATAAAATAAAATATGAGTTAGTTATTTTGTTTTACATAAAACCGCGAAATCTATAGTCTTTGTTACTTTTTTATTTATTTTCATAATAAATTGTTAACACGTGATATTTATATGACTATTTATTAAAATTTTTTTTGTTTATTTTAAATCGACCTAATAAACTTTTGTGAAATTAAGAAATTCATCTCAATACATTTCTTTATTACTGAACTTGATCAATACCCATTCATCAATACTCTAAGAATAATGCTGAATTTTATGCTAATTTATTTGTTTTATATGAGAAAGTAAACCTTATTTGTAATTTAAATATATGTACGATGTGAAGTCGTAGGTTCGAGTCCTGACTGTATGAATTTTAAATTATATTTGAAGAATAGTTTTCCTTTTTTCTAAGGATTTTCTTTTTTTAATTATATATATTATGTATTAAAACAGCACTGATTTATATTTAAGGGTCATTGTCTGATTGGCTTCATATTCAATGCATTTTTTTATGAAGTAAAAATACTGACGTTGTAGCTCAGTCGATAAAGAGACGGTAAGCAAAGTCACAGGTTCAAATTATCTTTATTATATTGAAAATTAAGTTTAAAAATGTTCTAAAATTTAGTTCGTTATATAGGTATTATATATAATCTTTACGAGATCTATCGATAGTTGCAATCGGAAAGTATTTTTGTCATCAAGTAACAAATTTCTCCTATACGAAAGTTGTCATTTGAGAAACGAGTTTGGAATATAAAATTATGTAATGTTTAATCGAAACTTTAATAAAGTAGGTAATAAGAAAAAAACTGTGCAAACTTTTTAAATTATAAGCATTTTTATAGTAATAATAAATTAATTGATACATTAAAGTAGGGAATAAAGCAGATATTGTTTTATTCTATACTAGTTTTTGACCGCGACTTGATCTGCGTTAATTTCAGAATAAGAAATGTATAGCTGTAAGGGCGAACTCTATTCCTTAAAGACATTTTTGATTTGATAAATATTTTTTTTCTTACGGTCGGATGAAAAGTATTCTATGTCCTACGTCTCCACCAATTTTCATCCATATCCCTACAGCCGTTCTTGAGTTGTAAATAGTGTAACTAACACGACTTTCTTTTTTATATATATAGATAGAAGAACATTGATAGTATATATCAATGATAAACGTGAAACTATGTGTATTACATAACTATGTAAGTGATCCTTATCTATAAATAATAGCGTTAGGTCTAAATCTCGTTGTTCGAGGTCATGGCCTAATGGTCAGCTGTTATAAACGCCTACCCACCTACTAATATTATAATCGTGAATGTTTGTGATCAAAACACACTAAAACAGCTGAATAGATTGTAATGAAATTGAACGAGAATGTAGCTGTACGTAAGAATAAGATATAAGAAATTTGGTTAGGTAGAGAGCTGAGCTTGGACAATAGAGATGATCGTTTAACGCGTTAGATAGGTGTCCTTTAAACCTACACCTGGGTCACAAGTCCCAGTCACTGTTGAAGCTCCTCTCACTACAACGATGGACCCGGCACCCGCACCGTGAATACATGGAATGCTAAGAGGTTTCGTCTCACTTGAAGAATTTTCTTTCTGTCATTATAGTAACTTACATTAGTTATACTGTCAATATATAATGTATATTAATCCTATGTCAAATATATTTACTATATGAAACAATTCAATATTAAAAATAATATGTATGCTTTTTAATTGACGATTTTCTCAGTAACGCTTCTCTTAAATAATTCTATATTATGTATACATATAGTGTTGTGATAAATATAATGTTGTACAAAATAACATTCCGAAATCTATTTAAAACTGAGTAGTATCTTGAAAATACATAAACACATATATTTTAAGATTGCAATGACATTGCAAAGGCGAGAGTTTGTATTTAAGGGGGATTGAATACTGTTAAATGTGAAATGTTTATATGATTTTAATATTTTGATATAAAAATTTGTTTAAGTATTTCTTCATAATGAGGAAGTCAGATGTATTGCAATTTTCTATATACATATAAAAATATAAAAAACTCTTAAAATATTTAAAATAGGAAGTAAAAATTAAAAGGGTTCTGTTTTTGATAAATAACTGTCTGGTAATATTTATATGTGGATATGAAAAATTATTTTATTTATATATTATATACAAATGTATCGTACAAATAAATTATCCGAGTTAACTATCTGCTGATAAAAAGTGGTGGGTGTGAGCGATGTTACGTAAACGTAATAGCTAACGTAAAATGTCCAGTTATTTACGTGTGTGCTGACGTAATGATAAACATTTGGAAATTTGTCAAGACAGCATGGGATGGCATTCGCAGAAGTATTTGGCATGAAATGTGGCGAATGTTGATTTTGGTACCCTCATAGTATATATTTTTTTGGACTACCTTTCTATGTACTGTATCTTGATAAACTTTATTCACAAAACTAGGTCTTGTTACTTTGTAATATCAGACCATCGCTGTTGATATTCCCACGTTGAATAATTGAGAGGCTCATACATAACTTAAGCTTGAATAGGGTCATTTCTTACTTGTATTTTTTTTTGTAAACCCCCTTAACGTACATGTTAAAGTGGTTGTTTATATGTAGCTACCAATCTATTTTAAATTATCAGTTAAGAAGAGACCCCTTTGTCTCTTAAAGCAAATTCTGTATGAGCTTTTAAAATAAGCATCATGGTTCTAAATGCTACATTGACCTTCTGAGATAGTCTTGTTTTCGGGTATGATTTCTTCGAAATGTTTCCCTTACTATATCCATCTTCGTACACTTCATGGAAGGGCAGATAATTATCTGTTTTATAGTCCCAAATGATGCAGTGCACGAACATTTCATTACGAGCTAGCGTGTGGAAGACTTAAAACAGGCATTTTTACTAAATATCTTCCTTCTTCTTCTATTTTCTACTTGGCGATTTCCCAGCTTTAGCCAGGGTCTGTCTAAATATCTTCTTTATGTACTGCAAATATTTGGTATTCCTTATCAAGTCAATTTTAAAATTATAAACTAACTAACAATAAATGGACACGAAAATTAGATAATAATATGTATATAATATTCTGTTTATTATTTCTAGACACAATAACTAAAGCATATATTTGTTTTGTTTCTAAGAAAATTTATATCCTTCATCATCAATAGTTTTGTTGTAATCGATTAGTCAAGGTTTTTTTATATCTGCTATTTATCATTGAAAATTGGCGGATGGATAAAAAAAATATCTTTGCCTTGGATGTGCAAGTTTTATCTTAAGATACAAAACAAATGTTATAAATATTGTCCAATATTAAATATGTTGGAGTAATCATAAAATTAGTAATAATTTTTTATATTATCTCACTTCAAGCTACCTCCCAAAAGTCAAAAAATGATAATGACTTATCAAATGCCACACGTTATGTTTTCAAAAGTTGCCCTTGAAAGATTTTATTAATACATTCGATTGCAAGTGATATATAGAGTTTTCATAAAACTGTAACTGTATCAACAAACTGTATAAAAAAATGTGTAAATCAAATTTTAATAGTGTTTTATATTTTCGGAATATGTATAATTACGTATCTTATATTTTTTATCTTTATTCCATTTTTGGGATCAGCGAAAGTGTGAAAGATTAAAAATTATTGAAAAATATATTTATTATAGCTTGTAACATATATATAATCATCGCAACTGTTTTTATTCTATATATAAGAGTATATAACTTTCATATAAAGTTATGAAAACAACATTTTAATGTCTATTTCGAGGCCTAATTAAATGACTCACTGTTAAATTAAATAGTACATATCTTTTATATTTTTTAACTTCGTGAGTTATCAATTAAAACCTATATATTTTATATAATTTTCGTTATAATTATTGTACATATATGACCAATAAATAAGCTGTTTTTTTATAGTTTATAAATTGCGACATAAGACGTAGATAGAAGGGTATGTTCGACCCCAGGAGAGGTATAATATTGCCCACTAAACCTCATCATCGCATTAGTATGTCCCTAGGGCTCGCTAGACCATTAGACTGTGGCGTCATGTAAAATAACGTGACATAAACATTGTATAAAGAGTACGTGACCGGAGTATTGCAACTGATGATGTCAAAATTAATGTATTGGTATATAAAAATTTAAAACATAATATATTATGACCAGTATGATCGATTCAAATATACATTTATAGAGCATTACATTACGAAAGTTACATAAATTACATCGTCGTTTATTTTTATATCCACATACTATTACCAAATTTTAATGGCTTCTTTTCGTCCGATGAGGGAGGGAGCTGGTTACCCTTTCCAATTTCTCATCCTTTCCTACCCCTTCCCTTTCTCAAATTTCCCTCCCCCTTTTCCATAATAAGGGTGGCAACATATCAATGAGCGATGGTATTACCTCTATCAGGTAGGCAGTCTCCTCGGTTGCCATAAAAAAATAACCAATTTTTCATAATGTTAAACCTACATAACTTCGATATCCACGTTAGGAAATATACTGAAAATGTATATATATGATCCTTGTTATATATTATCAAAAAACTGTCTCTTGTTACAGATGCGAGCAAGCGCACTAATCTGGTGCGCATGCGACGCTCGGCTCTCGGAAAATCTGCACCGACTCTCTCCGTCCACGTGGTAAGAATAACATACATGTAGGCAGATATATATTTATATATTATACACTGAACACTACATCTATTATATGTTATATGTATTATAAGATAATATATAATTGCAGAAGGAACCATGTTCTACCTCCCGTCGACCGTCACGACTGCCACCTCCTCCTCCTCATCACAGACTTTCACTTGTGGTAAGATTATTTTGGATATTAATAATTAAACAAAATTGTATGGCTTCATAAAAATATTCACGTGATACAATTGATATTTTTTTTACTTCGGACAGTAGATATATATTTTTTCAAAAATATACATGACAAAGCAAATTTGAAATACAACAATGTTACAGGATTTATGAACACGATAAACACAACAAAACAATACTTGCACCATAAAAACATTGCAGCATCAAAAATGACTTTGTTGAACAATTTTTTGCTATTCCTAGTCCAGTTTTTCGAGGGTAACGTGCCGTGTGCTCCAAAAAACCATTGCCAATTCTGGTTACTATATTTCATCATGAACAATATATTTGATGTGAAATGTCAGAAGCGTGTTCTGAATGCGTTTGTCCCCATTACGAAACACGAATGGGATGTATTTGGATGTCATAGAGATTTACATTTTGTGTCGCTATATCTTAACCGACTGAACGGGAAGAGGTTTTGAGTTTCATTGTATGTATGTTAGGTAAATAACTTTGACGTTTATAGTGAACGATTAAATGATATATATAAACTATGAAAAATAAACGGTTTTGCTCGAAATATTTCCTATTTTTTGGCAATAAAGTAATATCGGTCCTTGAATATTCAAGATTTGTATTGTATCGTAAATTTTTATTTGGTTTACTTGGCGTTCAGTACTGCTCAAATGCCTCATCCCTAAAACTACTTTCTGATGTTTTAGCTCATTAAAATCCAATCGTCCTGTCTATGCAACGTCGTGACACAAGTCACCGCTCTTAAGACACGTCTGATGATTTCATAATTTTATTGTATCACAAATCATTTGTTTTGCTTTGTCAATGGAAAAATTTTGATCTTAATTGATGTCCTACTATTTATTTATTATTATAGTCTGATAGATTTACTTATATTTATTTTAAACAGAGATTAATACAAAATTAATAACTATTAGATATGGAATATAATAAAATAATCAGGTAATGAAAAAAACTGTGTTAGTGGTTCTCTTGAGTTGTAATTATTTCTTTATTATGAAAAATTAACTAAATTTAAACAATATTATACATATTTAGGCTTGAAGAGCAAATAATAGGAATAAAGCCTAATGTATAAGGATTGGAATGGTTTACCTATTTCTTTCCTTCGAACTACAATTTAGTTGTGTTCAAGAAAAAGGTGAATAGTGTGTTCTCCACCTACAACTCCGTTTCCACCTTCTCACGTGTGGAATGACAGTAAAAAACTATCCAATCGGAATTAAAATATACACCTGTATATTCATAGAAACCAATTAACAAATTCACACTAAATTCATTTTAAATAAACCATTAATAAAATGAACATAGCTAATTTGTAAAACGATTTAAATAACAAATAACCAGACGTAAACGTTCGTGTGGACCGCGCCTTTGAATAGAATGACTCATGATGTCAAAAACCGCATTAAGACACGCAAAAAGCGATGTAATGTATACGTTGTAGAATAGTTCAAAGATATTATATACATATATGTATATATATACTGGATACGAGATAATAACAATATTTAAATAATAATGAATTTTTGAAATTTCGTTTTCATATATTTTAACAGCCTTGTGATTATAGATATTTGATTTGAATTATAGAAATGCAGAGTTTTATAAAGTAATATCATCTAATATATAATATTTCCATGTCCGAAACGACTATACCGATTTTTACTAAATTTTATATGTATATTCAGTAGGTCTGACAATCGGCTACTATCTATTTTTCATGCCCCAAAGTGATAAGGGGTGTTTACTCTTAAATTTTTTTTTTAATTTCGGACTTAATTTTTTGTTTTTATTTTTTTATAATGTGGCATTAAAAATACATAGAACCCTTAATTGTTACTTTTTTATCACCAACCCTTATTTTTTAGGCAAAACAACGTTAGCCGTGTCAGCTAGTATTACTATATATTTTTACTTCATGTTGCGATAAGTTTAAGCTCTTATTGTAACAGTGATGTAGCTCGTGTATTTGGGGCGCGTGTTGTTTACAAATATCGATTTAAACCAAACATAATGTATCGTATTATTATTGTTTGGCCTGTAACTGTATTTTTGTTGCGATTACGTTATTATCAGTGGTACTGTTCATTGTATTAATTTTGAACTTACATCTTCTTTCTGGTAATTAGCCAGCTTTAGCCAGGGTCTGCCCGATTTAAAAACTTCTATTTTTCAGAATAAATACTATAAGTATATTTTTTTGTTATGATATTTTTGATCATATATATATTTTTAAGTAAAAACTTTTCTTCTTATTTTTTTTTAATGTTCGCTCATAAATATTATATTATGAAACGTCAGTATGACATTGACAGCTGTCAAAAAAATATCTCTAAAAATATATATTTTGTATTGTATTGAAAGAAATATATTCAAGTAAGTCTTTACTCGGCCTTTCAATTACCATACTATTGTGCTAAGATTAATTTCTTCGTCACATTACACGAGTGTCTTAACTCAAGTCTCTCTCGTTTGACATGTCTTAAGACCTGTTGCGTCAAGTTTTACAGCACAAAGGGATGAGGGTTAAGGTCGGGAACTACTTTGAAGTCAACAACAGCTTTGTGAATGACTTGAAAGCGCTTTGGTCTTTTTATAACTCTAGAGCTCTAGAGAGCTAGCTTGATTCAATTGCTTTTAAATCTTAGTACGTTTAATTATAGACGTATTGTTATTTGACTTAAATTATAATACAACTACAACCAAATTTTATTTTAAAAGTTTTTGGAGTATTTTTACGTTTTGACCAAATTTACTCAACAACTGCAACACGAAGTACAATTACGCGCAACAAATCACTTGTCATGCGAGACGCGTCTGTAGGACTGTACTCAAAACAAACATTAAATATAAATAGCATCTGTTGTAATATATCGCCAGGACTCATAGTCATATATTACAATAGTCTCTGTTGTAATATATCGCTATTCAACGGTCTAACCGCCGAGGATGAAAAAGACCGTGCAAAGTGGAGGAGTCTAAGTAGTAAGGCAGACCCTGGCTAGGGCTGGGAAATTGCCAGGAAGAAGTAATATATCGCCAGGTTACATACAAATTAATGTTATTCTACTAGGTGGGTTCAGGTCGGTGCAGTTCACCTGGAACTGGTCCCCTGTCTCCCGCTGAAGGACCTCGCTGGCATCCCCACCACGCTCACCCACTACATCACGCCCTGCTATCATCTAGCGTCAAGAGATCCAAAGAAATGTGAGTTAAACACAATATGCATAATTAAAACCATTTTTTTCATAGTTTAAAACTAGTTTGAATCGAACAAAAAATTTTATCGTGTTCAACCAAATGGAGCATCTTTTTTTATATTACTTCGTGACTTGGATAGACAGTTACAGAAGTAAGAAGCTATGATGATACGAAATTAAATATGATTATATACTTTTATATTTACCGACTAATAGATCAATATATTCAATTAAGCAGACTTACTATGTCGATACGTCCCACGTAAGTTGTTGTATCTCCGAAACTGTAAATTTACAGTGAACGTTTCAAAGATTCAAATTAAAATAAAATCTGCAAAATTTGAAAATTACATTAGGTATGCGTCTGACAAATCCTTTAAAAACAGTGTTTTTGTTGTTTGTTTTACTTTGAATGGATGTAATGATCCATAATAAGATATTTTAAAATAGCATTTTTGTGGCATACAACAACTTACGTGGGAGGTATTCGATGTGTTCTCATCATGAAAATCGAGAGAGATACTTTCGTTTATCAGTCATAAACCTTATTAATAGTATTAATTTAGATATACAGTGTAAACTCTATATAACGACACTGAAGGGACCGTGCATTTTTGTACGTTATAGAGAGTTGCCGTTAAATCGAAAGAAGAAAAATCAGAATTAGAAAAAGACAAAAGTTTATTTCAGACTAGTGTTAGTACTTATGTACATAAAAAAGAATGTTATAGTTTGAGATTTTGTGAGCAACTTTTTATGTTAACGTATAGGTAATACTTATGGTCAAAAACCGTCGACACGTTTAAGCAATTTGTAATTGTAAACAAAAGAACGAATTTCTTAGAAAGTTTCTTAGAAAGTTCGGTATGCATGATAGGGATACTCGAGTTTATTGCGGGCTAGGATAACAAAGCGACAAAGGAACGTACACAGCTGCACAGTTTTTACTAATTTTAACAACTTAAAAGGTACTTTTTATTACTTAATTGTTGTCGTTATTGAGAGTGGGTGTGCCGCTATGTAGAGTGTATCATTGTATGGTAGACAAGCTAAACCAACCAAAGCCAAATGATTTCGATGCTTTAGAGAGTTTGTCGTTAAATCGAGTGTCGTTATATAGAGTTTACACTGTATATATAATTTGACTATAATAAACAAGTGGCATGAGTACTGTTCAGTTTTTTTAATATACCTTCCATTATGTAAATGTGTGTAAATTTCTTTTGTATGTCTGACACAGAAATAAGGATGTGTGAGTGTTTATCTTTAATTAAATCAACCATCATTATAATTTATGTAGCAGTAATGATAACACAGATTGTATTTTTTTTAAACTTCTATTTTGATCTAAAAAGTTAAATTTAAAAATCCCATCTAAGATTTTTATTTTATATTTTTATGTATTTTATACTAATACATATATCAATTTTATTCAGAATATCAAGCAAATTAGTTCATGGTTTAAGTGTTAAGATGTAATATAAGTACAAAATTCCTTCATATTACTAATAATGTACATAATTTGTTTAACATTATATATATACTAGCTGCGCCCCGCGGTGTTACGGCGGATTTCCGGGATGTAAAGTAGCCTATGTGTTATTCCTGGACGTCAGCTTCCTGTATACTAAATTTTATCAAAATCGCTTCATCCGTTTGAGCGTGAAGAAGTAACAAACATACACACACACTCACAAACTTTCGCATTTATACTATTAGTAGGATATATTAGTAATATTGGTCTGTCTGTGTGTAAAGTGATGGTCGCCGGTGGTCGGTGGCATCTCTACCATCCTCCGGGTATGGCACCACCCCGGGAAGCTCCAGCTTGTCGGTAAGTATTTACATTTATATGGAAATCTCATATATAATATGTCTATTTGAAACATATGATAACAATTATATACTGATTACTTGATTTCTTTATATGTTTTACTAAATAATTTCAGTATGTTTTTAAATTTAAAATTCTATTATTACATGTAAATTTCAGTAATCAAGTTAAAATATCAGCACCTTTAATACCAACTACTTTTCAATATTAATAAATAAAATTTTATAATAATCTTGACTAATTAAAAATTCATATTTTGTGAGTCATAATAAAATATTTGAACTTATAAATCCAATATCCAAATGAATCCTGTTTTTAAAAACATAATTTAAACCTTTCATAATGTGATAAACGCATTGAAATATAAAGACGATTTTATAACATATATAGTTTATTTTTAAAGCTGGCACAGTTAATATCGAGAATAATATAGATATATTTTATATATATATGTAAACATTTGTAGCATACTTTACCTTACAGTAGTATATTATCAGTACATAATTACCACTAGTTTATTTATATCTCTAACTGACTCACATATAATACTTATTTTTAATATATAGTTTTTTATGCTACTTAATATGTGTCATTAACATCTATATTATATATTTGGCTGTGTTAATATTTAATTTTGGCCTATTAATAATAAGTGCCCTTATTATTTGTTTACAACTTACATAGTTTCTTTGCCAAATTGTTATGTTCAATACAGATTATGTTTGATAGAATAATATATATGTTTTATTCAATAAATGATTTTAAATTATAAATATATTTAAAACACATTGTCTTGGTGTCAACTTGTCACACATGTGTTAATTGTCTTAGTACTGAGGACGTGAGTAATTTTCTAAGAACACTTCATTTTAAATATATAAAAAACTCGTATCATATGTCACATTTTTTTCGGAAATGCAACTGAATCATCATTTATGTAACGAAATATATTAATAATTTTGTTATATCAAGTGTTGACTCTCGACATCTTGGAGTTACGCTGTTACTTGGCCGACTTTCAAATAACGATGCCTTATATATTTAAAACGTCTTTATCACACTGTTATAAGGTCGAGAATAGTATAATATAATTCAATGCGATTCGTACTGTTTTCTTTTGACGCTAATTACAAAAACAATTGAAGTTTTCTTCAATTATTATTCCATGTGACTTGATAACATGCACGTTCGCTTTCCGATAAGGAACGGGGAAAAATAAAACTTACGTTGTTCAACGATAATGATCCATTAGTTTATCCTTAAGTATTAAGGCTAATTATGTCCAGTTGATATATAATGAGCATAGTTTAAAGTTATTTTTACTTCACAAAGTCTTTTACATATGTTTTATAAACTTAATTCCGGTGCCAGTCGAAGGTGAAAGCTTACGTCACAACAACTGAACTGAGTTTAATATAAATTGAATTGAGAATGTAATATCATTTTTGATATTAAACATGATATGGATGCGTTTGACAGATGTGGTTTTGGCGCCATTTCGCGGTTACGTGCACAGATTATACATTAATTTTACATAATGTTCAAACTCATATCGGTTTGTTAATTTGATGTTGATATATTAGATGATTTTCGAATTATTTTAGTATGTTTGTGTGTAAATGTTTTTACTTGTGTATATGACTACGACAATTATGCACCTAAAGAGGTTTTAATTGGCCCAATTTTTTGTGTATATTAAAAATTATTTGCATCTCGTAAAATTTTAATTTGAGAACATCATGTTGTTTTTTAACCATCAATGATTATATAGGACGCCGTTAATACGCTTATATTATCTTGATAAAAATCTAAATGCTTTCTCGAGTACAATAGTGTTTATAGCAGTTTCTTTTGTATACATTTGCTCTGAAAAGTCTCAAGTAGGTTTTAAACTTCGTAAAAGAGAAATGTTTTGCTGATGGTCTAAATTTTGATGAAATATATGTATATATTATATCACATTACTCAAAAAAGTTTCTAGGATCAAAGATTTCATCCTTAAATAGTGTTTATGTTTAAAATAATCGATACTCGTATTGTAAATCTATATTATCGTCCGAGCTTCTCTCGTTGCAGTCGCAATGCTCGTCTCAGGAGCGCCTGCTGGCGGCCCAGCCACCGTGCGAGCCGCCGCGCGCACCCTGCCCGCATTGTCATCAAAATCAGAACTCCCTCAAGTACGTACTCATAATTCCTACGACTATTCTTCTTTGGTAGTTTGTTATGCTGCTTTATTTGAGAAATGATACACTTATGAGAATTCTACTGGAGAATACCTCGGAGTGGTTTCATAGTTGTATTTATCTTGCAGCAGTTCGCAAGGCAGTGGTATGAACTGGGCGTCGCTGTCGGATAGCGGGGGCAGTGGACACACGGCGCGAGCTCCCTCGCCTCGAGCGGTGCCCAGGAGAGTCAGGAGCAGGAGTCTGAGGTAAATAGAACTTATATGGATACATTTGATCTTCTTCTACCTGGCAATTTCCCAGCTACGGCCAGGGTCTGTCTTACATGTTGTGAATAGTTTTGGCTATTTGTTTTTACGACTGACCGCCTGCCTGACATCAACCCTCTTTGGGAATGGATACATTGGATAATTTAAGTTAACTATGTCTAGTTGATATCAAGGAAGAGTTAATAGGATTGTAATAAGAGAGTTCGTGTAACGTTTAAGGCTATATTTCTAATTGCCATGAAGTTCTACATATATAACCTTAAATCTCGGTAGCAAAGTAACCGAAACGTCGGGACTATGTCATTAAAAAAAATTATAAACGCGTAGTAACTTCTTAATATTGGTTTCATTTCAATGAATACTCGAAAAAATCTTAGAGCTAATTATAACTATAAATCTTCTAAAAAGTCCCACATAAAAGACTTTCAAAGGCTTTAATGATCTCTGTTTTAGCGATAAGGCCGCCTATTCTACATTTTTCTTTTCTTTGTTTTACTCATATTATTTTTGTCTGTATTGGAGTGCAATAAAGAGTATATAAATAAATAAATGATTGAAGTCATGTTCTATTAACCAAAGCTCATTCCTTCTTCCAGTTCTCCCTCCAGATCTCCAGGGGCCGGCGGGTCTGAAGGGTCTCGTGATGACGCCGTGTCCGCTATGTCCGCTCTGTTCGCAGCGAGGTTCCCAGCTGCTCAGAAAGCGATGGATGACAAGTGAGTTGACCTGCAACAGCTGCAAAAACTTGATGCTAGTAATTCCAGTATAAGACTTGCCTGCATTCCCTACCTTTTATATTCCTTTCCAATCTAGCTGACAAATTGAGTATCATCCATATAAAATGTACGTAATTCCAAACGCATTATCTTTTTCCTGGCAATCTCCGTGCTTTAGCCAAGGTCTGCCTATTCCAAATGCATTATCTTCAAACAAATTTGGTGTCATCTGAATGTAAGTGATGATTTCAGATTAAGGTCGCTGATAGATGAACTGGCGGAATTAGATAAGAAACCAGATCGACCACCCATCGAGAGATTTGTTCAGAGACAGGTATGGTTAAATAATTAATAGTATAGTTAATTGATTAAATATAAATAGTTAAATAATTCTCAGTCATCGAGATTTCCAAGTCAAATGTGTAGCATAGTATGTTTATTTTTCCAGGTGTTGGAAATGGCGCGCGACTGTCTCCACAAGTCGGAGTCGAAACAAGTGACCAGTTCATACTTCTACGATATGGCTGATAGCTTGGACAGACTGTTGGCTGAGGTGAGGTCATTGACTTCTTAAAATTTCTTAACAAATTAGGCCTTAATGGGCCAGGCGAAGTGTAAGGTATAAACAAAAATTACATTGGTTCCTGGTTCTTATAAAATATTATCTCGTTTTCTTCTATCAGGAGTTGGTAGGTCTCCGTAAGGATGATAGCAATTTTAGGAGATATTTATTACTTTGATGATGGTTCTGTTAACTTTTTTTTTTAATTAAACAGATTTAAGCAATTATTGGTGAATGTTTATTACTCAAATGATGGATTTTTCAAAGATTTTTTCTCATTTAACCATTTTTATTTGCAGAAATATACTTTTCTATTTATTTTTAAGTTCTGATGGTTATTTTATCCTTCAGACACGTGAGAAGTCTTCAGAGGCGGGTGCGCAGGTGGCGCCACTAGTGACTCGCCTCACACTAGCTATGGCCAGACCGGCCAGGCTGCTGGAATGTCTCGAGTTCGATCCCGAGAGGTTCTACAGACTTCTGGAAGCTGCTGAAGGACACGCTAGACACCTGCAGGTTAATTACATACTAAAACTGTCATTTACAAAAGAAATATATCATAAAATGTTATATTTTCGACAGTACATATTTAAAAAAACTAATATATCAAAATGGTATATAGTACTAATACATCTTGAGCAAGCGTGGTGATTTATGCTGAAATCTTCTCCATGTGAAAAGAGGCAGCTCAGCAGTGGGCTCTGATAGGCTGATGATGATGATTATATCAAATAATATAGAACAAATATAATAAATCACTTCTTTTCCCCAGGGTATAACTACAGATATCCCCCAGTACATAATCCACAAGCTGGGTCTGTCCAAGGATCCCCTGGCGGAGCTTCACGTACCCCCACCACCTCCACCACCACAGAACTCCTCGCCCTCCAAGTGAGATACTTAAATTTATTTTTTTATATATTGCCACTAGCTTTCGAGTTCGGTTCGTCGAGTCGAGTTCGGTTATATTATGTTTCCAAGAGAACCTTTCAAAAGTCTGGCATAAAAACTATCCTATGTTCTTTCTCAACGTCAATTCTATGTCTGTACCAAATTTTAAATTACTACCAATATAAGTTATTAGATTTAAAATTACCAAATATCTTATCTTCAGAGTGAGAGGTCGCCAGTCACCCCCTGGAGGTCAGGGCGGGTCACCTCCCTCAGAAAACGACTATCAAGTCATCAAGCTGATCTCCAACGGGGCGTATGGTGCAGTATATCTCGTGAAACACAAACAGACTAGACAAAGGTATGTAATTAATGACATTGTGCTTAGATAACTATATCGTAAGCACAATGTTATCTAAATACATAAGGTACTAACCTTATGTATTTAGTTGGCGTGAAATAACAAGACTATAATAGCAAGAGTTCATTTAATCGAGTGTCTATCACAGTACTGAATAAATAAAATCAAATGACATAGTATACTAGGTACAACGTAACTATATATATGTAGTGTAAAATATCTCCAAGAAGTAACAAATGAAAAAGCTTTGTATAAATATTATTGTACTGTTTTGGATAGTGGATTCGATTCCCCGCCCCATATAGCATTTTTTAATGTTCGAATATTATTTTATATAAAAAGTTTCTGTAATAATTGATATTTATTTAATTTCACTTAAGTACAGCTTGATACTTTGTATTAACAATATTGTGTATAAATACATTCTCTTATCGTGCTTTTCATATATTGATAGTATCCATACAGTTTTTCTATTCAAATAAAACTAAAATAACATTCTATTTCTAAGTCTTATCTCATTAGTAAGTTTATTGTCCAAATTTATTTACAGATACGCGATGAAGAAGATCAGTAAGAATAATTTGATACTAAGGAATCAGGTGGAGCAAGCTTTCGCTGAACGAGACATTCTGAGCTTTGCTGACAATCCATTTGTGGTGAGATGAACACAGACGGCTTATATAAAAGTAATATTTTTCAGATATACTACGCGTTTATAGTTATTTTTAACAACATCTCATCTGCCCATGATCACGGTTACTGAAAAGTGACCGAAACATCGGGAGTATGAAGTTTAAATTAATAAAATACGCGTAGTAGTTCTGAAAGCATTAGTTTTATTTTAATGAATACTCGCGAAGGTCATATTTCGTTATATGAACTAACTAACAAGTTTCTTAGAAATTTAACTATTAAAATATAATTTAAAATTTTCATCTTATATATTTCTAATATAATGCCTGATCTCTGTTCTATTGATCTTGTATTGAAAAACATGTTAAGAATTATAAAGTTACGCAGGAATAAAATTAAAAGTATATCTAAAATACATGACTACATATAAATTCAAATTCGAGGGTAGTGCTTAAAAACTTTTATATATTGTTGCTTTATATATAAATAACAATATTAAATGTTCTTATCATACAGGTGACCATGTACTGTTCGTTCGAGACGAAGCGCCATCTGTGTCTGATCCTTGAGTTCGTGGAGGGCGGGGACTGCGCCACCCTGCTCCGGGCGGGTGCTTTGCCCCCCGACATGGCCCGACACTACTTCGCCGAGGCTGTGCTAGCTGTGGAGTATTTACACTCGTACGGGATCGTGCATAGAGACCTCAAACCTGATAAGTTAGTGTTGATAAGGATTTTGATTGCATTATCCTATTATGTAGTTTTTTATTTTCCCTTACATGTAGTTACTAATTGCAATTAATAATGATAATAACTTAATGTAGTTTATTAATTTATAAAGGAATTCTTGTCTGTGAAAAAAAAAATTATTAATCATTAATATATTTTCTTTCGAGAGTTTTTAAAGTGTATGTGTTGATAAGGATTTTGCTCACACTATCATATATAATATAGTTTTTATTTTCACTCATGTACTTACTAATTGTAATTAACATGGTTACAATATTGTATAAGGTTAAGTTATATGTTATGGTACTTTATACAGAATTTCTTTTGTGTGAAAATAATAAAAATGCTATTATTAATTGCTATTACATATCTTTTTCAATAGTTTACAAAGTATGTGTTGATTTTTTTAGGTGTTTTATTTCAAACATTATTGACAGTTACTCATATTATTTAAATAACCATTATGTGTTAAATAATGTATAATATTCTGTGTTCATTCCAGTCTACTCATCACCGCGACGGGACACATTAAGCTCACTGATTTCGGACTCAGCAAAATGGGGCTCATGTCATGTTAGTATTTATATTATACTAGTTATATAAGACAAATATGTTCTTTAACCTTTACCTAATAACAACTATATAAAATAAGATAAATATTAAGGAAAAATAAATGGTTAAATAACTTTTGTTGTACAAAACCTATATAAAAGTTCTAAATCTACTATTCTAAAACTAATATGTATAAATCAAGTGTTATAATTCCAGTGGCCACCAACCTGTACGAGGAGTATGCTGACCGTGAGGCGAGGCAGTTCTCGGACAAGCAGGTGTGCGGCACGCCCGAGTACATCGCGCCAGAGGTCATACTGCGACAGGTGAGAAACATACACCCACACATATATATATATGTATATATGTTTAGAGTTCGGGTAAATTCATTAAAAAATATACTTGTCTTATAAGACTACAACTATAAAATAACTATTTAAGCATTAACTGGATCAAATTGGTCTTAAAGAGTTTTAACTTTTTTTTTAACTAAGTTTAACCTTATACAACATGAAAATAATTTGTAAAAACAGTCACAAATCGCGTTGACAAATATTTTCGCGCGCTAAAGATACATACTAAATGTCATCGATTCAGCTCAATTCATTTCAGTAAATTTTTAATTAATAACTTTCAGCTATACAAAAATGAACTTATCGTCAAAATAAAGTCCGAGTATCACAAACGAAAGATTTAAACACTCAGAAAATATACGATCTATTAATCTATCATACCAGCGCGTTACAATTGTAAAGAGTCCTGATCTAATCTGACGACTGCTTATATATAGGTCGCCCCTTGTAATGTATTGCCCTGAGAGAGGAATGAAATCCGAGACTGTTGAATAGATACTGCATTTTTTTCCAATAGATCGTACATTAAATAGGTACAAAATTAGGATACGTAGTATATAATGGTTGATAAGTATGTTTGGTTAATATAATCTATCCACATCTCACCTCCTACCCTCACATATTATTACAATGTATATAATATTTAATCATATTTACCCAGGGTTACGGCAAGCCAGTGGATTGGTGGTCAATGGGCATCATTCTGTACGAGTTCATAGTGGGATGTGTGCCGTTCTTCGGAGACACTCCTGAAGAACTCTTCGCTCACACAGTCAACGGTCAGTTTAATATTAAAACTATAGCTAAAAATTAGCAAATTTTTTATTCCTATGAGCTACTTTTAATTAAGATGGTACGTAATTAATTCTTTCGTAATTAAGAACACCTTTAGATATTTTTTCCTAAAATTTTACAATACAATATAACGATAGCGTCTGCATATAGATTTTTTCCATTATACATTATAATGAATATGGAATATGTAAGTTTTTTCAAGTAATAGTCGCTGAGCTTCTTATATTAAACACGCGAAAATCTTAGATACCGTTAACGTCGGAACCCATTTAATCTGCTATAAAAGCCTTTAGGGATTTATGGCATAATGTGTAATATACATAAGTTATTGTAGGATTTTAATGCAATATATAATTCTGGATTATGCAAAATATATATGACCTACAGACGATACAGACTCGCAGATATTATTAATGTAAGACCTCATCTAGTCTGCGATAAAATCCTTTAGAAATATATGGTATAATGTGTAATATACATAAGTTATTGTAGAATTTACATGCAATATATAATCTTGAATCATGCAGAAAAATATTTTACGTATATTAACAGATGACATCGAGTGGCCTTCGGAAGATGATTTCCCTATAGCAGTAGAGGCGCGCGCCATCATCACCGAGCTACTGGCTAGGAACCCGCGAGACAGACTCGGCACGGCCGGGACGCAGCAAGTTAAGGTGATATAACTAGAATATATACAGCCTTGGCCAAAAGTATTAGGCACCCCAAAAAAACCTTACAATTATAAATCAAAACAACTTTTACTTTTCAAAGCGTACGTTTTATTAATATTAATAACATATAAAAATAAACAAAAAAAAATATATATGTAATAGAATATACAGTGTAAACTCTATATAACGACACTGAAGGGACCGTGCATTTTAGTGCGTTATAGAGAGTTGCCGTTAAATAGAAAGAAGAAAAATTAGAATTAGAAAAAGACAAAGTTTATTTCAGACTAGTGTTAGTACTTATGTACATAAAAAAGAATGTTATTCGAACGCTATTGCGTATAGTCAGTTATTTTTGTTTGACGTCTTATGCTGCACCAGTAATGTTGTTGTATTTTTTTAGTTATTTTATGAATATCTTGCGATATTGAGGCATCTTGGTGATAAAAGAAATAATTTTCCAGTAGTTAAGCTGCATCCAAAGCTTCTTTAATACTCGGCGGAGGCTCAGGCTCATCTGTCTCATCTTCTTCATCTCCTTGCTGTTAATCCTCAGTTTTTCTCACTGAATCTAAAATTTCTTTGTCTGTGAGTGAAGCCGTTGTAAGGAGGCAGTCATCTACTTCCATGTAGGTTTGAAGATTTACCGTATTTCCTGCCATGTTAAACTGTTGAATCCACTCAGTTAATGGAAGTTCGTCGTCACTATCAATCTCCGGTTCCGTTTCCACCTCATCACTCGTAGAATTGGTACAAAGTCCAGCATGTCGAAGAGAGTGCTGTATAGTTGTGGGTGTCACTTCTTCCCAGGCTTTAGATAAAAATTTTATCTTCTCTTCCGTTTCTATTGCGCGTATCAGTAACACTTTTTCGTCAACACCCAGTGATTTTCTTTTACTAGCCATGTTTACAGTTTGAGATTTTGTGAGCAACTGAGAATATGATAACGAATAGGTAATACAAGACTCCTACATATGGTCAAAAACCGTCGACACGTGTAAGCAATTTGTAATTGTAAAGAAAAGAACGAATTTCTTAGAAAGTTCGGTATGCATGATAGGTACAGTCGAGTTTATTGCGGGCTAGAATAACAAAGCGACAAAGGAACGTACACAGCTGCACAGTTTTTACTAATTTTAGCAACTTAAAAGGTACTTTTTATTACTTAATTGTTGTCGTTATTGAGAGTGGGTGTGCCGCTATGTAGAGTGTATCATTGTATGGTAGACAAGCCAAACCAATCAAAGTCAAATGATTTCGACGCTTTAGAGAGTTTGTCGTTAAATCGAGTGTCGTTATATAGAGTTTACACTGTATATGTACTATTTGTATTATATTATATGGAGTTTATATATAAGGGGAAAAATTAAGAAACTTTAGGAAGTGAATTTAAGACATATGTATATGAAAAGTACAAATGACTTAAGAAGTCTGGACATTAGGATAGATAGATAGACAGATGGATAATAATAGTTTACCGTCGGGATGTGGTTTTGTATGACTCCTGTTAGTTTTTTATATTTAGGAGTTACATTAATTCTATTATCACCTCAAAGCAGGATCTTTAATTTCGTTGCGTAGGCTTATTTGTTTCGTTAATATTGACAAGAGTCTCAAAGGTTTGACGTATAAAAAGCGTGCAAAATATGCCAACGTAATGCTATCTAACAATTTCATCATATATACTAAGTTACTTATCATTTATCAACAAATAACTCAGTTTTCATTAATATAATGTTTACATTGAATATGATCTAGATATATAAGGTATTTTTGTCTGTCAGTACGCTATATTTAATAGTAATATGTAATGTTCGTGTGTAGGAGCACATTTACTTCTACGGTCTGGACTGGAACAACCTGCTGAGGCGGAAAGCGGAGTTCATACCGCAACTGGAGAACGATGAGGACACTAGCTACTTCGACAGTGAGCTTTATAATACTTTTTATAAAAATAATGTAAACATCGCTCTTGAAATAATTTGAAAATAAATGATGTACCGTTTTTGGCCACCATCCGCGCCACTGTCTATGCATTGCTTATACTTGTCAAGTCATTGTGTGAATTCTTCTATCGTGCAATAAACCGAAGTTTTATCTAGTAATCGTGTTATTTCCCACAAATTTGTATCAGTTTGAAAATATTATACATGGAAAATAATTGTATGTATATAATGGTTATTGTGTTCGAATAACGTAAGGAGTCTTATCGAAATCGGGAAGACCAATTTTAGACTCAAATAACTGTGTAGTAGTATCTTCCGGACTTATATGATCTTGAAATTAATTGTACCAGAGAAAAAAACTTTTAGCTTTCAGGTTTCAGCTCAAAAAGTGTTTAGTTGTATATTAAACTTTATGTAATACATAATAGGGTTGAAATTTAAATGAATACATATTAGTATAACTGTTTCCAGGCCGGTGCGACCGTTACAACCACAGCGAGGTGGAGACAGATGAAGCTGCGGAGACAGGCGAGGCGGGCGAAACGCATGAGGACGAGGCCGGACTGTTCGCTGCCTTCTCCTCCACCTCGCCCCAGTGGAGACGGCACTACTCACACTCACACTCTCACTCACACACTCATTCTCACTCACACTCACAGTCCGCGATGTCACACGACTCTAGGGTGAGTTTTTATTTTATTTATTTATTTATGTTTATCTTAAAACGCCTCGTTTATTTCTTCCGCTGTTAGATTGCCAGCATTTTTTTCACTCCTTAATCTTGTTTGAATTTTAGTTGCTTTTTTTTTATTAGCGACTCTAAGTCTTCATGAAATATTTAATAGTTTTTAATTATTAGTGTTTGTTTATAGTATTACAATTTGCACAAATTTATTGACAATTGACATAGGAATATTATTATAATAGCATAAGGGCCATATCACGCGTAGTTTAAAGAGACCTTGTAGCGCTAACGTCTGCTTATTGCAGAGCACGGACAGCTGGCCGGGCACCCCGGACAGCGCGGGCCCGCCTACCACGCCCACAGCGCCCACGGCGCCCATGCCGCCCACCGCCATACACCATCCCAAATGCCCTGTGAGTGCTGATTTAGAGCTCGCAGATAATCCTAGCTGCTCGTATTTGAATGCATTTTATAATTCTTACTATTCAATAGCCTTCAAATTTTATTAAATTAATTTGCGCTTCTTATGATTTCTCCTGTCGTATCATCACTAGCCTATATATGTATTTCTTTCCACGGATTGCACATTTTCTTTATCTATATATAGCCTTATAGCCGCTAAGTCTGTGTTATAACTGTATTATATGTTTATTATTATTCCCCCGCCCTTCCTGTCTCTATAGTTATGTGTCTGTGTTCAGATGGTGTGTAGCGGCGCGGGCGGGTCCACAGCGGAGTCCTCTCAGACGGACTCTGACGACGTGTCCCCGGCGGCCCGGAGGCGCGCGGCGCTCCGCCCCCTGCACGCGCACCCTCTACACGCGACGCACATGCTCGTCGCGAGGATGTTAGTAACACCCTGTATATGGGTCATATGATGAAGCTCTTAGAACACATACTTAAATACATTTTATAATAAAATTGAATAGCTTACTAAGATTGTCATAAAATTGATGTATGTAAGGTTTTGAAAGAAACTATAGAGAGGAATTAACTACAAGATGTTACAGTCATAGTAGTAGTCACCATATTATACGTACTTATTAACGAAAGATCTTACAGGAGTTTACATGAAGCTTTAACTATGGTAAAACGACTTATTGAATATATAACCATACAAAGAATGTCCGAAAGTTCTGACATTGCTATCAATGATCTCCGATATATATACTGCTATTATTATCTATAGTAAATTATATGTCTTATTAATTAATTTCCAGACCGGATCTGCCGAAGAAGGAAGACAAAGGTGTGGACAAACCTGACAGACCAGACAAGAGTAAGCCGATAGCACTCGCCAAGTCTATGAGACGGTCGGCCAGCACGTCGGGGCTGTCACTGGTCATACATCCGGGTTAGGAATACATTCATATGATATATAACATATATATAATATGATATATTATAAGATATATATCGCTGTGGACTAAACATTCAACGTTCAGTAGTGTGAAGATCTGTTACACATTTATTTATTTGACACGCAAAGAGAATACAATCCGGATAACATACATTACAGTTACAGTTTAAAATTATTTTTAGCTTGATTATATTCCTAAGCATGTGTACGCGGCATAATCATTACAAAACCAATATGTTTGTCAGGTGCTACATTATTTAGGTACAATTCAAGACTAATAAATAAATAGGAAAATATAAATTAAATTCAATTACTTGTTGATAAAAAATAGTAATTATAAATTATACATCTTGAATAATATCATCAGTTCAGCCTTAACTATAGAAAATTACACGAGCACTATCCTCATAAAACACTTTTCTTAGACACGAGGTCACGTTACATGCAAGATAGTATGAGTGCATACGTAATTGAATCTAATGAGATCTAAGACTTCCGCGAGTATTCATTTAAATGAACCTATTATTTTCGGATTACTAGGCTTTCAACTGTTTCTAGTCGGCACGTGATCACGGTTGCTGCAAAGTAACAGAAACGTCGGCAGTATTTAGTTAAAATAAAAAAGTAACTCGTATTAATCCGTAAATATGAGATTCATTTATATGTAACTAGCTTTCCGCCCGCGTGGAGTTCGGTAATATCGCGTTTCCAAGAGAACCTTTTAAGTCTGGGATAAAAACTATCCTATGTTCTTTCTCAAGGTCAACTCTGTCTGTACCAAATGTCATTAAAATCAGTTCAGTGGTTTAGGCGTGACAGCGTAAAAGATAAACAGATAGACAGAGTTACTTTCGCATTTATAATATTAGTAGGTATGTAGATCGTATTCAATATGTTTGTTTCTCCAGCAGAGGACACCCTATCAGTGGTGGCGGGCGGCGCGGGCTCCCCGTGCGCCGGGAACACCTCCTCCACCAACTCGTCGCGGGACTCGTCGCCCTGCAGGGACCCGCCCTCGCCCTTCGCCCTCGCCAACCACTCGTGAGTATAAACATACATACATACAAATATACATATGTATACTAGTAAACCCGGCGAGCTCCGTTTCGCCACCAGAAGGCTTTTATATAACATTTCGATTGGTGATTAAAAGATGAAGAATTTTTTTAGTTTTATATTTGAGAAGGGAAATTTTTATTTCATTTCACAACAGTAATGAATTCATTTCGATTACAACAATGAAGTGAATTTAGTTGAACTTCTCTAAGTAAATGAAAGTGAAAACGGCTTTAGAGCTATATGATTGACAATTGGCGGGAAGAAAGCTTACGAGACGGACATAGGATATATAATTCGATTCGATCGAAACATTAAAAAAATTAATAAACGCCAATATCTGATTTTTATGGCCTTTAGGTCGGGATAGAGTTTGCCCGGTCAGCTATGTAAATAATACTAATTCCGAAATTAACGCGGAATAGTCGTGAGCAAAAGTTAGTATAAACTAGTATAAATAAAATTTCCATGTTACAATGTTAGTTACCGTACTGCTCCGACAAAGTTTTACTGATTTTGACCAAATTTTATATGTGTATTCAGTAGGTCTAAGAATCAGCTACTATCTATTTTCATACCCCTAAGTGATAATGGTTTTTATTTTATTATAATGTAGCATAAAATATACATACAACTGTAAATTATTAATTCTATATCACTAATTCTTATTATATGGCAATACAACGTTTACCGGGTCAGCTAGTATATATAAATAAAACCAATATACTTAATTGATTTGATACTATACATGTTGTTGTCTGTAGTCTGATCCAGTCATCTAAACCTCCCATCGTGGTTCGTCGTGGTCCGCGAGGCTTCGGCTTCACCATACACACGGTGCGGGTCTACTACGGAGATACTGACTACTACACCATGCATCACTTAGTATCCGTGAGTATCATATACTACATACATTAAAATGTACCTAATAAAGTGAACATAAGGATTACGTCAAAATTATTTTGTCCATCGTCCATAAGTATATACTGGTGTGGTTTATTGTGATATAATGATGAAAAAACAGACAACACCAGGGTACCATAATTATAGTAACCAAATATTTAAATGGTGACCGTACTAAGTCTACTAAAAATAATGAAAAAAAGTTGCTGCCATACAGAAAATACAAAAGACATTGCGGCTATGTACGATTAAGTACAATATGTATATAAGAGTTGTATATAAAGTATGTGTATAAAGAGATATATATTCACAAGCTGTCTCTTTGCGTTGCCTCTATACAGTGCAGTGTAAGCAAATATATGTATACCTTATATATATGCGTATTGGTTTTAAAATTCGTTAGTTACATTATATCTGTGTTTCAGGCGGTCAGCGAGCAGGGTGCCGCCTGGGCCGCGGGGCTCCGGGCCGGCGATCTCATCACACAACTGAATGGAGAGTCTGTACAAGGGTTATTACACACACAGGTAACGATCAAACACAGTTATGAATACATTGATTTATATCCCTACTAATATTATAAATGCGAAAGTAACTCTGTCTGTCTGTTACGATTTCACGCCTAAACCACTGAACTGATTTTAATTAAATTTGGTACAGAGATGATAGAGTTGATCTTGAGAAAGTACATAGGATAGTTTTTATCCAGACTTTTGAAAAGTTCTCTTGGAAACGCGATATAAACGAAATCCACGCGGGCGAAGCTACGGGCGGAAAGCTTTATGAAGAAAATATATATATTAATGTATATGATGTGTTTTTTCCAGGTGTTAAGACTGTTGTTGGCCGCCCCGCACGCTACTCTACGAGCGACGCCGCTCGAACAGACTACGATACAGGTTGGGTTATAAAATAAGAGGAACGGGATATAACGTATATTAACAAAATTTTAAAAAAACATCCATTTGCTGTCTGGCAGATTAAATTCCGAGATATGTAGTTATATATAATTTAAATTAAATATAGTATATCCTATTAATATTATAATTGCGAAAGTTTGTGAGTGTGTGTGTATGTTACTTCTTCACGCTCAAACGGTTGAACCGATTTTGATAAAATTTTGTATACAGGAAGCTGACGTCCAGGAATAACACATAGGCTACTTAACACATAATCCGCGGGTAACACCGTGGAGCGCAGCTAGTTTCTAATAAATATAATTTTATTTCAACAAGTCAGGAAATAAATCAAAACTGTTATCCCTATATTATATTTTTATATCATATCTTAATATGATGTTAGGCGGGCGGAAGGAAGCGCGCGGGCGGGCGGAGGGCATCTGCTCCTCCTCGTCCCCGCCCAAGAAGACGCTGTTCTTTGTTCAGACGGATATCAACCAAGCGAGCCAGTCAGGAGATGCACCAGGTAATACAGCCTATCAGATCACTGCTGAGCTGCCTCTCCTCACATGGAGAAGGTTTGAGCATTACTCACCACATACTCAAGACGGGTTGGTGATATCAAACTTATAATTTGAATAAAGTCGAGGTGATCACGATGTTTTCCTTCATTTGTCAGTGGTGTCTAAATACTCTTAGAAAGTACGTATGACTCGGAAAAATCATATTGATGCTGCCGGGTTCGAACCCGCGTCCTCGTGCTCGAGAAGCGGCCTCTCCTGGGCCACCACGACCCTCTAATGTGATTCAGACACACAGAATATCATCTCGTTTACCGTAAATTCTAGTAAGGGGCTGTCCATTAATCACGTGAGGCTTGAAAGGGGGGGGAGGGGTTTGATAAAAATCACGAAAATAACACAAGGGGGAGGGGGGGTGTAGTAAGATATCTCGTGTATTTGTTTTTTCGTCTAACGCGCGATTTTTAAACAAATATTAAGCGGCACGGCGCGGTGTGTAGTGATCTCGACTCGCTATGGTGTACACATTTTTATTATGGTCCTTAATTTCAGAATAAAATAAGATTATAGTTTATACCTGTATTTAAATTAAGGTAATATTCAGAAAATTCTAAGATTCGTTGTAGGTACTAAAAATACACGTGATGTTGGGAGGGGGGAGGGGGGGTGGTCTTAAACCTCACTACGTATCACGAATGGGGGCAGGGGGGTTAAAAAATGCTAAAAAAAGATCACGTGATTAATGGACAACCCCTAATGAGAGTACTAATATACAGGGTGACTGGTGAATTACTATCGATATTTGAGGACTTGATATTTGACGATCATATATGACAAAATAAAAATTAATATAACATAAATATTAATAAACTTCTAAGTAAAGTTAACCAAAAGTTATGTAATTAATTACGCATCGTGTGAACACCCTACAGATTAGGTATACACTGACACTCACACATACGCATGTCGTGACGTGGTGTTGTATCAACACGTCGCCGCACGCGTCCACACTTGAACACTTGGAACGTGTCAACACTTTACTTATTTATACGGAAATTTTGTCAAAAATTAAGTGCCTATTTTTTTTACATAATTCGAATGAGAATCATGTACCGAGTATGCTCCTTAAATATTGATAGTAATTCACCAGTCACCCTGTATATTTTTTTCATTTACAGATGGTATCCGGCGCGTCAAGTGAGCTACCGTCCCCGGCCGCCTCGCCAGCCACCGACTCGCCTCTACATACCACTCACCCCACCACACACTACCAACGGTAGGTGGCGCCACTTTGTCATTTCTATAAGTAATATATGATATTTAGAAAATAATGAAACTGAGACATATATTGTTATCTATCACAAAGCTACACGATATTCATCGTACTGTAAAATAGAAGTAGAAGATTATGATTTTCTTTAAATGACTTCTTTAATATTTAAATTTCTTTATTTTTGAGATGTACTACGCGATTTAATTTTTGATAAAAAACTACACACATACTCCCGACGTTTCGGCTACTTTACAGTTTACAGCAACCGTGATCACGGGCAGACGACATGTGAATGTCATGTAGTACATACGAAAAATACTAGTTTTATTTAAATGAATAACACTCGCGAAAACCTTAGCTTTCCTTTAACATGTTTGTTTTGTAAATATAATTGATTTCTATGTATTCCAGGCCGTCTTCTCTCCACGGTCTTAAACATAAGCTAAGCGGGGGCGAAGTCCGACGCGCCTCTCTCCAACACATGCCTCTGTCCCCGCTGGCAAGGACACCTTCGCCTTCGCCGCAACCCGCCCCGGCCTCCCCTACCAGGTATGTACTATATTATGTCCCAAATATAGTCATCACATATAAAATCATCGATAAATATCTAATACATCACTATTTTTTTTAAAGATAAGTCGTTATTATGTTACATTTTTTTTGTAAGTCGTATTTTAAAATTATCGACAACTACTGAATCCTCGTCTCGCCAGAGTATCTATAAAGTAACCACGGGCGAGGACTCAGTGACGTAGTTTCCGTGTTTAATCTTATAGTTACATGTTTATCACACGAAAACTATAAAGTATTAATGTTTTTAAAGTTAAAAATAGTGGTGTATAGTGGTCACTCTGCAACGTCCGCACTATACTAACAAGATACTCGTCCGCCATCACTATGACGTCACTAACGCTGTGTCCCCCCTCCCCCCACCACTCCTCAAGCCGAGGCTGTGAGGCCCGCAGTCCGTCCCCGCTCGCCGCGCGGGAGTGTCGCCGAGCGTGGCCGCGGAGGGACCCCGCCTCGCCGCTCCTGCGACGGGCGCTGTCACCGGACAGGTTTGACATACATACCGTCATATCATGCTTTGTGTTGCTTTGACATTTTTTGTTGCATATTTTTGTTTCTTTTTATTTACCACATTTATATTTTTTTTGATATTTATGGTAATAGATATCTAAGTGTTTACATATAACCTTACTGAGTGAAGTATAAAACTAGCCCGGTAGTCTATATCGTGTTATATGAATCCAGACTGCACCCTCGCTCCGCGGAGTCCAAGTGTTCTATCTCACCCCTCTGTTGTGGAGGGGGCGCGGCTGGGACGGTGTCAACTCGCCGCGGGGGTTCGTGGCGCCCCCCGGCCCCCGCCCCGCCGACCCCGCCCCCACCTGATAAGGCCGATGAACCCACTCTACCCAGGATCGCGGAGGAGAAAGACAGTCCTACACACCACGCAGCCAGGCTGCCTACACGGTATAAGATAGTTTGATCTGACGTAGTATGTCATTTTATACCTTAAATTGTCAGCAATAATATCTATAATATCACCTTTATAGACATAATAAAGTGCTATTGTCATTCTATCAAGTTAATTAACTTGTACACCCTAACATTTTCAGCACCCCAGCCAAGCAGAGCACTCCAAGTATCTTCACGTCATCACCTAAGGCGAGTGTGACCCGTGACGCGAGCGCCTCCTTCGCTTCTCTGTCACTATCAGACGAGTCATACGTGGACCTGGATGTGTCAAACATTGATACGAGCAACGCAAGGACAGGTATTATATATCTAATAAATATAATTAAAAACATAATATGTATATAGATAATATATAGGATTCACAGTAAAGTTCTCTTCGATAGAAATTATTAGTTTATGTAACAAATACTTTTACCAAGTTTCAGTTATAGTTATATATAATCTATTCAATTATTACAGATGACAGTCGCTCGAGCACGGAAAGCGCGCTAACAGACACAAACAAGAAAATACTACCCTTACAAGAGACGACACCTAGCGTTGTGGAGACGCAACACAAAACAAGGAAGAAGTCCGATTCTAGCCTCAAGGATGAAGACTTTAAAACCAAGGACAAGTCGAAAGCGAGGCAAGAGAAGCAAGAGAAAGAATTTAAGAAGCAAGACTCAGTCAAGAAAATAGAGAAGGCTGAGGTAAAAGTGGAGGAAAAACGACAAGACGTCAAGGAAGATAAGAAAGAAAAGGCCATGGAGAGGAGCGGGTCCGTGAGGAAGCAAGACAAGCAAGAAACGAAGGAGGCTAAGAAGCAAGAGAAGCAAGATAGGGCGGAGAAGAAGCAAGAGAAGATGGAAGCGAAGAGGTCCGAGTCCATGAAGAAGATTGAACTGAAGAAACAAGAATCTTTCGAAGTTAAGGTATGTACATATATATACTGAACTTGTAAGAATGTGTGAGTATAAAACATAATAAATAAGCTGTTGATTAGTAGAACTTAATAATTAACACGGCTTTACATTCGTCCTATTCTTAACGAATAGCATTATTTTTATAATCTATATTCTATATAAACTATGTAACTCGCGAGTTCTTTTATATTACGTTGTAAAATAAATCTTAATCACTAAGCCACATATCCTGTATATTTTATTAATGAAAATACATTTAAATTACAGTCCCCGGAAGCGGAAAGCGAAGGTCGCAAGAGTATGGTCAGTAAACTGTTGGGAGTGATGGGCAGGAAGAGAGACGAGGAGACTACCAGGAAGGAGAAAAGAGATAAGAAGAAGGTGGGAGAGTTGTATAGAATATAGTCTATAGAATATAATTAAAGAAACAAGTATACAGGGTGACTGGTGAATTACTATCAATATTTAAGGAGGATACTCGGTACATGATTCTCATTCGAATTATGTAAAAAAAATAGGTACTTAATTTTTGACAAAATTTCCGTATAAATAAATAAAGTGTTGACACGTTCCAAGTGTTCCAAGTGTGGACGCGTGCGGCGGCGTGCTGATACAACACAACGCCGCCGCACTCGTATGTGTGAGTGTGGGTGTATACCTAATCTGTAGGGTGTTTACACGATGCGTAATTAATTACATAACTTTTGGTTAACTTTACTTAGAAGTTTATTAATATTTATCTTATATTAATTTTTATTTTGTCATATATGATCGTCACAAATCACGTCCTCAAATATCGATAGTAATTCACCAGTCACCCTGTATATATGTTAGTCGTTTCCGCAAAAAATACTAAACGGATTTTGATGACAATTGCCTTCTAGCTCAGATTTCGGAATAATATAGTCTATAATTCACATAAAATTTTCGTCTACTTTTTTTAAAGATAGTTTTCTGTATGAAAGGTGTGTTTCATGTATAACAGACTATACTATAGATGGCGCTGCCAGTTTGATATCATATCTATTCTAATTAAGAATACACTAGTAATTTTTCTATAAATTTAATTTCAAATTCCAGCCCGACGAAGTCGCTAGCATAGCCAGTATTGTAATATAGATATATTCAAAACAAGTCATAAACGAATATTTTTAACAATTTTATAACGATGTCATTGTTAATTTACAGAATACAGCTAACCAACAGCCAACAACATCAACACAGAAGATTGATACAGACAAAAACGAGAAACAGGAGGACGATAAGAAAACGAAGAAGGGGAGAGGAAGAGCCTCAAGCTCCTCGTCCGGGGAGAAGTAAGGAAGAAACAGATAGACATGTTAGAAAGAGACAGATATATGTGGCTCGGTGCACTCTACCAGCCACTTACAACGTAGAGAGATATATTTTTGTCCTTTTGTCGTAGTCTAGTTGATATTAAGATTTTTATCAGTGTATTAGAGTACAATTTTGAATGGCACAAATTGCTATGTAGGTATATAGTGTTCAGTGTATTGGCTATAAAATGTAAAGTGTCCGCTGGGACGGATTTGATGATGGAATAAAGATAACTACGTATGAAATTATTTTCTTTATGTAAAATTTATTCAGAATAAACAGTTTCAATAGGTTATTTAATACATTGATAATAATACAGTAAAGAATAGATCAAATTGTATTTCGATGAACGGAAACTAAATTCTATGTGTATGTAAGTAAGTACCATTTTTCATTACAACTTAATGATTTTTAATATGGATGTTGTGTGTCATTTTGAATAATAAAAAACGCTGTAAGCTTCTAGACTGTTTAGATTTAGTTGATAAATTGTAAGAGTTGGGTCCTTTAATGCACCCGAGATGTTTCATTATAGATTTGGGATACTTTGTCACCCCTCAGTATTAACAATAATGAGGCGTTTTATTTACGATATGCTTATATTTTTTGCTAATGAGCGATTATTTTGTGATATTTTTAAATGTACTTGTTTTTTTATTTCGGTGTTTTTTTTTGTATATTTTAAATCGCTTTTTTCTTGTATAAGTGTTCATGTTTGTATGTTATGTTAAATGCTTGTGTCGCCAGCTGTTATTTATATATCTATGTGTAAATATGTCTGTGTATTGACGTGCAATGATTCTATGTTATTGTTATTTTTGAACATTTTCTCTAACAATATTAACATTCCGAGACAGTGCCATACTTTTAACTTTTGCCGAGTTCATCATTTAAATACATAAACGAACAAGTACATAATTCGCTTTTATTAAACTATCCAGAGGCTTGTTAATATCTTTTAAATGATAAATTAGATTATTTTATTTCTATACTATCGAATATTGTTGTAGTTTATTAACGATTTTTAATTAGATATTTTTAGGTCATCCAATAGATGTTAAACTTTTCTTGTGAAAGCGACGTCCATCCCTATAAATATAAACGAAATCTGTTAGTTTACTTGTTAATTTTTGATTCAATACAAAAAAATAATAAGTAATTAATTTCAATGAAATGTTAGCATGTAATTATTTGGATTGAACTTTTTTTAATGTGTTGTAAATATCTTGTAAATTTAGTTTTCGAATAAATGTTATAATATGACCACGAATTTTTTTATATAGGTAACTTACTCAAGTACATGAAAGTGAGATATATTTTTTTTATATAATAAGTTTGTTCTTATTAATATTTCTGAGCGCACTGTACATTGACTAATACGTAATGTAATACTCATTGGTTGGATGTATTTTTGTTTTGCATGTATTTTTGGCAATACAGGGTAAGAGTGTGCACTTGCCCTTATGTTTATGTAACTGCCTTATCCGATGTCTTCATCGAAGTGTCAACGGATTAAGAGGAACTTGCTTCGGGACCATCATATCGTTTATTGAGTTAGCTTCATATTTTTATTAGCGTTTCAGAATTATTGTGAAAATTTACTTTATACTTTTAGTGTAAGTCGCATGTATGTATTGAATTTAGTTTAGAATTAAATTTTATTTTACATACTATGTTGTCTGCCATTAAAAATTATTTAAGTAGGCGTAAAGCATTGAATGTGATTTAACTAAGTGTTTAGAGTCAATGAAGATTTTTTTTCTTAGTAAATGTGTGTGATTCGATATGAATACTAAATAAAGTCAGAATATGCTGTTTGCTCATTGTTTTTATTTTCTGGTGTTTGTTTTTTTTGTTATTTAAGTGATAAATAAAAAGACCGTATATTAATTTTATATTTTATTGAGGTGTAAATTTGATTCAACGACTGAAAAAATCATATAACATTAGCAAAGCTAAATTATAACATGGATTTTATTGACAGGCCCAAAAATTATAAGAAGGATTTTGTGCGGAAAAACTATCGATAGTAGGAACTAAACAAGACAATGCGCATTTTAATTATACCTGAAACAGTTTTAATCTTACCTTAAAGTAAACTAAGTTTTACATAAAACAATCAGTTACATAAAGCATCAGATTACAATCATTATATATAAGTACACACAAACATATACTGTATTACAACTAGAACAAGTAGAGTAATTCGAAGAAAACAAAACACGCAAGTCTAGCCGTGTAGGTGGTGAAAGATTAGTATGTACTGTAGTCTTATATATACTTAACACATTTAGTACTCTCAATAAATTAAAACAGGCATCAATATAATTATCAATAGACTACAGCTTAAATCAATTCTAACATTACCCTGTTCTACGGATATCCATAGAATATTTTCACATCAACTAATTTTTAATACTCTTAAAAACATATTAGTTAACATTGAATATGAAATCGTATTGCAAATGGCTAGTAATCTAAACGGCCAAAACACTTTTCTCTTACCCGTTTAATGAGGTTCTCGTCTGGGGTTAGTTTCCAATCTAGGCTCCTGAAATCCGGCTCCTCGAAATCCTGAGATTGAGATTCGAATAAATCCCGTGAATGGTGTTTAGTTTTATCCTTTTTGGATTTTTTATGAGTTTCCTCAAGTTTTATCTCCTTTTGATTGCTAATGCAAGTGCGAGGCGTTTTCCACATGGAATGATCATTCGATTGTTTTGGAGGTTTATTAGGTGAAGAACAGTAAGAAAAAAAGGGACTTGATGGTTTGGGTTCCACTTTCTCTTCGAAAAAAGACGGATTGAGGAATGAAAACGTGTAGTCGGCGTCAATCACCTCCTCTCTTACGTAAGATGTGACATGTCTTCTGTTTACATTAGAAGACTCAAAATGATTGTTTCTTTCCAAACTATTTATCTTTGTTTGTGTTGTTCTCACTTGTACAACGAATTCGTAATGTTTTTCTACACTTCCTGCGCATTTGTAGCATATAGTTGTTAAGTTATCAGTTTCATTTATGATCATCTTCAAACATATGAATATTTTCTCCACCATATTCTGTCTTTGGCAAAAAATGCCAAACAACGGCACATTAAATTCCGTTACTGATAAACACAATCTACACGATTGCCGTGAAACTTCCATATTATATTAATTCTTATTAATTTTTAAATATTTATTAAGCAATATGTATTAAGCAAACTTATTCCAAGATTCCCGCGTAAATGCAGTTGTTGTATACAGATAAAACAGAACTATTCGAAAAATACTTTGCTTATATATTTTGTTGGGAAAATAATTTTTGGGAAATATATGCAAAAAATACTACTTTGGACGGCTTACCGTATCAATACCAGTATACTTTGCTTTTATAAGCTATTATTTATACTTTAAGAGTAATACCGTCAACTTTTGTATAAACGCTACAAAAAAAAAGAAAAAAAAAGCTAATAAAGGCTAATGTAATATATAATAATTGAAAAATAACAAATTAATATTTTAGCAAAACAAATTTGGTCACATTTTCTATTATTATCAAATTAGGTTTTTGTCCTTAAAACGTTTAGTGGGTATAATTTCGGAAAGTTAGTGAAATCATACAATCACATTATTTTGCAGGGGTATGAGATACAACAGAGTAAGAATGAGAAAAACTCAGAGATAAAATTTTTGCTACGATGGACGGACAGGCCGACGGTAGATGCATCTAGAATGAGCGCATTAACGAAACGATAGACTGCAAAATATTAAACATTTCAATTTGTTCTCGAATACAACATTGTTAACTATTTGAAGAGCAATTGATTATTTTTTGCAGTAACCTTATCTGCAGTAATCGTAAGAATTAAAAGGAACCAGTGTTCAAAAATCGAAAAAACCGTAACAGTACAACATTAGTAACCAATTTCATTGATTCTAACTATCAAGGTCATCACTACTATCACAAGCCATCACACTATTATGACAGTGATCATAATTCATAAATAAATATGTTATATATGTCGTTTGAAGCGAAGCTATTTAAACACGTCTCCTACATTTATTTGTCGTAAACGTGACTTATTATGAATGCTTTCTATATGGGCTTCATTAGCATTTTGTTCCAATGAGGTGTAAGTATAGCTTTTATTTCATGTGGCAGCATCACGTCACGATTTACAGACAAATTTCTATTCGACATGATTAAACGTCGTCCTCTTTCTTGCCCCAAAACTTGTCGAACCTCGTGCGAGCTCTGTCTAGGACCTCGGAGGCGGTTAGGCCACCAGTGGGCGTCTCATTGACTACAGTAGTATCCACTACTCCCGGTGCGACCTGAGTTGCTTCAGTCGACTTTTTAATGACTTCCTTCTCAGCGAGGTGCTCCTGGAGCGGTGTTTCCGGAGTCAGCTGGTTGCTGTTCAAACCGTTAACGCCGTTAACTTTGTTCAGATCCAGAGCCTTCGTTTCATCGATGGGCGTGAGGCTGATGGGGGTGGTGGGTGTTTTGTCAGTCCGTTTGCTCAAGCTGGTCGGAGACTCGCTCTTCTTGAGCGAACGTATCGGAGACATTTGCTGATGATGAATTGGAGCGATTTCTGGAAAAGCGTTTCATAAGATACATTCGGATTCTTGTTGAATTATCGTTTGTTTTTTTTTTCGATACACGGAACTCCTTTAACATATAAAGCACAGAAATTACGCTAAGGCTATGGAGTATAACAATTTTATAATATTATGAATATATAACAACTACCATCGTGTGGCTAGTCTTCTACAATGTGTTTAGAATTTATAAGGAATATTCAGTTCTATTTATATAAAGTGCCGTGTTAAAACTATTTGGCATCACCATTAATATTTTAGCTCATTATTACTTAAAACTATCTATATAATAAATTAGCTAAGAAAACTTAATTCCAAACGTATTAATTGAACATAAATTCACTTTCACATGCCACCTTCTAACGAGATATCGTCACCAACAACAAAAACTGTTTGCCTTCAAAGATATTGCGAGCCTTTACAATCTTAGGCACCTGTTGGTGGTGGTATCGAATAAACTTGAATCATGCTTCCAAATCATTAGATAGGAAGGGGTTTAACATATCTAAATTATCAAAGAACTAGTTAGCACATAAATATCTCAAGAGGTCATGCAAAGTTCAACAAAGAAGTCTTTAGAGAAGAATGTTATGAACTGCTGGGGCGGACGTCGTTACTAAAAGGACACATACATTACAACAAGAAGGAACCTAAAAGCCATCGTTTGATGATAGCTAGGAGATGAAAAGAGAATTGTCAGAGTTCAATATCGGACATTTCCCTTATGATGTGTCGGCAGCATGCAAAAGTGAACGAACAATGACATGATCAAATAATAGGAGTGCGGTACAGTGGCAGTGACAAACAGCAAACATCGATACATACACACAACAAGTGAATACATACGTGGTCGACGTCTCAGCGGAGTACGGTCAAAATAAAAAAGCATCTCAATTATTGGAATAAAACAATTTAATCATGAACTATAATATAAAACAGGTTATATATGTCTGGTGGTGTGGTGTGTGTGACCTCTGTGGGTCGTGGTCAGTCAGTCACACTCATAAACCGTCGTCTACGGCTCGGTGCTAGCCGCCTTCGCCTCCTCGGCCACGGACGCGCTCTTAAAGTCAGAGCTAGGACGTTTTATGGTCTCATCTGAAATATGGCGTGACTTGTATGGTTGGTGACGTGAACCACTACAGCGTTCTATGTCCACAGAAATATGCTCGTGTGTTGGTCCGTGAGTGACGTCACCCAATACACATTTACACACACACAGACAGATCTCATCCGATCTCTACTATCTTTGGAGCTGGATGTTCTATGTATTATTTGTGTGGACTTCGAACAGTTTCTAAAATGTGTGACAGTAACAAACACAAGAATGTCAATGAAAATAAAAGATGGTTCAATTTAATGAGTGTTAGATTTTTTTTTGTTGATAACATGTCAATGGTCTTATTGTGTTGGTCAGTGTCAGTGTTGCAAGCTTCTACGCTGCTGTGGGGTTGCTCTCACCTTGTAACAATACAATGGTAGAATGGTAGGTAACATGTCATTAGCTAATCGTGTCGCATGAAGTGTGATGGCTTTAAATGTTCTAAAATTCAACCACATTCGTTGTGATTAAATCTTGAAGAAAGTATCCTACATTAAGTATTAGGATTCTTAATATTACATTCCTATACATTTCTCGAATGTCTATCTACGTGGAGGAGTATCTTCTCCATATTCATTAAATTCCAATAGAAAGAGGTAGACCGAGTTTGGGAACAACTACTTCGATTGGTCTCATCTAATTGTTATGCTATTTAGATCTGTAAAAAATCGTTAAAAACGAACGTCCGCAATGAAAAAGATACTCCTGGAAGCGAGTCAAACTATCACAATATCTGTACCAACGGACTACAGTAACGTCGAATGTTAATGACAATTCCATAGCTTAACCTAACTTAGTTTAATAATATTTGCCGTCAATCTGTTCAAGAGGCTGCACTCACCGCTTTTGACGTTCTGTGTCACGGTGAACGTCTTCCCGGTGTCCAAGGGCACGGTCCAGTTGACAGGGTCTGGAGAACGCATGTTCATCTGTTCTGGAGACTTGACCCGGGTCGGCTCCGGAGGAGACTTTACTATCGGGGAATCATCGAAGAAGTGGTCCTTGGCTACAGATGCGCTGCGATGATTTGGGATGTCATCATCTGGAATTTTAATCCATTTCTTCAAAAACTGCTCATTATTTTCTTTAGAGTTATCTAAATCATATTTGCATTTTGCCTGTACAACTGTTTCTATTGTTTTGTATATTTCCTGTGTATGCATGTGTGGATGTGTATTTTCTAGAATATTCAACCAATTACATCTAAACACTAATTCTTTATCTACATCTAGAACAAACAACACCGATAGAGAAAGAAACATACACAATGCAATCTAAACACTGAGAATTTAAAGAAAAAATACGTGAAGCCATTTTCACACGTGTTCTTCAAGTAATACTATGGAAATTTCTCAATTAACTTTCTCGTTATTTCTCCACAATCTTTGAGAAACACACATATATCATTTTTTATATAGTAATTATGAAGATCCGTTTTTTTGTTCCTCTAATGGGATCATTATAAGTATGTTAAGACTTAGGACATTTCCCATGGAATTCTCCAAGAAAATTCTCGTATTCCAATATATCTAAACCCTTTTACTTAGTGCGGACAGTGACAAACAGACAACACGAACAGAATCCTCGTGAGGGTGGAAGCCATTCCCACAGGTGCCAATGCGTATCGTGACTAGCGTTGCGTTGACGCACTGACTAACTTACACAACTTAAAGGAAGCGAATCAAAACGTTGAACTACACAGACAAAGCCAATTAAATAATTTATGCTTCTATATTTCATATCAAACATTATATGTATAAATCGTATTAAAGAAAATTAAAACAAAGTAAACAAAAAAAACAATTATTTAGGTTTTAGAAAAAGGTTTAAAGCAAACACAGTAAAGCCAATGCTGTATAAGCCCTTGAATTAAAAAAAAATCCAAAAAAATTTACAAGACTGATAGTTTATTTCTGTTTTCGTTGACTCATTTCGTAAGCACCACATAAGCCAGTTTCAATTTGCCATCACAGAGCGTCGACGCAACTGTCACCTGTTACAGTACGCACCCAGTTTTATGCCCACTTTCGAGACGCTCCGGCTTCGTCGGGCCGGTGGTGTGGTCCCGTTAACAAGTCCTGCCCCGTTTGCCTCAACGGCCCCATTCACTAATCTTGTCCCCGTTTTGCTTGGGGCGGAGGGCGACCGGCCCCCCCGCGATGTCGACCTAACTCTACTACTACTCCCCCTACTTAACGGCAAACCTACAGAAGAAATGTATGGTCCACTAAAATCAGGGACAGAGAATTGGCCCCATAAACGTTTATATTACGGCGTTTACATTCGTTTCTAGGGCCAATGTCTCATATTTAAGGGTTCAGGCAACAGGCAGGAACACATCTTCGTAACAAAAGTAAGAAATACTAATACTAATGTCAACAATGAGGACAATGCTGTAAATAAAACACAACATTTATAAATACACGGAGTAATCCAGGATGTACTGTAATTTTCATCTAAGTTTTTTTCTGGCAGAATTTTGACATCAAACATGTATGTTAAGCTCATAGGACAGTTTACTATAAAAATATAAGAATAGGGTAGTTTTAATTATAATTCAACAACACAATCACAACATAGATATCTAGAACAACTATCAGCCAATTAAGAGGAAGGTTTTTATAGCTTATTCGAGCTTAATTGGATTTTTCTTTTGTTTAAAAGCGGTTACGTACCGGTGGGCTTGTGCGGGCGCTCGGCGTCGGTGGCAGCACGAGGCGGCGCGGGCGCGGGGTCAGCGGAGCGTGGTCGGCGGCGAGGGGAACGGAACGAACCTTCGGACTTCGCCCCTGAAGTCATACATTTAGATATTTTTGATGTCAATTCTATAACCACGGCCATTTTAGAGAGAACTTTAAGTATAAGATTAGTGACGTCATATTATTTTCTTGGGAATGCCCAGTTTTCTTTTTAACTTCGGGGACACTATGATGGATTTAAATAAAAAAAAATGCAATGAAAGCGACATTCAATAATATAATATATCAATAAGTTTTTTGGATATTTAGTTTTAAAAAACGGATGAAAATCAGGCTCTGTTTGATTATTATGACGTCGTAGTACAACACAACCACATGTTTTGAGATTTATACAGTTGACACCGTTAGATGTCCCTGTAAATCACTCCATAATAGCCCAAATTTAGTTATTGGAAGATTATCTAATGCCAAAGGCAACGAAAACTACAACTAGTGTTTTGACGTCATTTTTTTCTATTGAGGAAATAAACATTTTCTTTATAATACACTACTTTATCCAGAGTTGGAACAGTTTTAAAATCTAGTTAATAAGATTTTTTATTTAGTAGATATGCTAAAAAAGCCAATAACTTGTTAAAACATGGATAAAACATTTCACATCTGAAAAATTATACTACAAAAGACTATAGCTAAGTGGTAGTCTTAAATAATGGTTTGTTAAAATATGACGCCATAACGAGGTCAAGGGAGTTTTAATGAAATTTAAATTTTATGAGAAATTTACTTGACTTAGATATCATTTTAAATTCTTACTGACATTTATCATAGTCATTTATATGATAAAAATATAAACGAATATGAAGTCATTTACACTATTGTATTAGCCAAGTGAACCAAGATACTGTTAATCTCACCATCTTGAACAGCTCCCTCGTCGAAGCTGTGTCCTTGCAGCTTCTTCCTCTGTTTCTGAGGAGACGTCTTATGAGGAGATCGTTCTAGAGCCTTGGTCTCCTGGAGCTTAGCGTGTATGGATTGGTGTGGCGCCGAGCGGAAAGAACGGAACTTCTTTGGAGACAAGTTTCTAGACTCCTTGCCGTCCTTCTCGTCTCGAGGCAAAGCCCTGCAAATAATTACCATTGCTGCAATACGATTTAACTATATTGTTTAGCTTGCCAAAGTCAGGCCGGTGATCACTAAGCTATTTAGCATTAAAATGGCTTCGCAGTCCAAGCCATTCTTTGCTAGCATCAGCCCTAATTAAATATAATGTTTGTGGAAGCATCACAGCAGGCTGGGACAAAAATATTTTAAGGTTCCTAGGTAATAAAGTTTAAGAAGTTATGCATATAATGACTCTTAGTGCTGGGGTGTGTCTTTATAAGATATCATCTAGATTCTAGTGCATCACTTACTTGTGATTGGTGGAAGCGAGTGATAGGGCCGACAGCGATGACCGGCGGGACACTTGGTACCAGAGCTCGATTTGCTTATTGTAAAGCTGAGTGATGTGTTCAGGAGCGAGTTCGGTTCCCCAGCCGCGGTACTGTCGAATTAATGATAATTTTGAATATGATACAAGCATGATTGTAAAGTACCACTTGTCAAACTTGTATGGAAATTTGATAAGTGATGACATTGTTGCTCTGCCAATTATGGATTATGAATAAGGGGTAATCTAAGGTAGGGATCAGATATGCAAGACAATGTGACATTTGTCTCTGTAGCTTTTAAGTAATTCGTTGCTTCACCATCTTACGACATCGCAATAAAGTTTATTTTGGTTTGTTTTATAACGTTATCCTAATTTCCGTTAGTAGGGTTTAAGGGGGATCGTAGTTCAGGTGTCCTAGATAACGTTAGTCTCTGTATAACATGAGTGTGGCGCAGACCTTGTATTCGCCGGCTCGCTTGCGCAGATCCAGGACCTCGCGGTACCAGGAGTCGCCCTGCGCGAGTCCGAGCGGCTGCAGGCCGGCCGCGCGCAGCGTGCTGGCCGTGTCCTCGCCGCCCGTCCCCTGCCCCTGCCCCGCTACCCCCGCATCCCCCGCCCTCGCCCCCGCACCCTCCGCGTCCCCCACCAACCTCTCGCTCGCCTCCTCTATCGACTTCCCTTTCCCCCTGCATTTTGTAAATGTCCCTTTAGACGCCTCGTACACGTATTGAGAGAACGGTCTAAATTTCTTTTTGTACTCGCTTTTGTAACGTTTCCTATTATCTTTGGACCGATCCTCCCCGTTGTATATGAGGGCCGATAGCGCGCTACGGAACGTCGATTTTCTGCAAAATTCCATTTCAAGTCAGACGTCGGGCGTAACGATGATATGCGGCAAAACAAAGAGCTCGCGAGCCAGGTTAGTAAGTTTCATGCTCAAATAATTGTTAAGCTCGCAATGGTGGTACGGATGTTAGACCTGGAAGAGTCTAGAAGGATGCGCCGGCTCGGGGCGCTCCCGCTCCTCGATAGACATTGGTGTCAGAAGTGTTAGGTGATACAAACACATACAATCTAACAAAAATTTGAATTAAAGTTCACATCGATAAAGTGCAGGAGACATCGATATTAATAAAGTATTCTATTAGATGACATTCCGAACTAATACAATAGTCTTGACTAGAACTACTCGGCCTAGGAACCGTCACCGTGAGGAGTTTGAGATGTAAGCAAATATCAAAAACGAAATTTAGACTTGTTCTGCTATACCCAGTTACAGTGGAAACGAGACAGTCGCAGAACAGACACGGAGGAAACTTTTACCATATAACAATACTAATGATAATGTCGAGGATATTATGTAGGCATCAGTTTAGCTTTGAATATGACGAATAATCTGTTGTATTGAAAAACTATTGAACGACTTGCTGTACAACCTTGACCGCGATGTAACAATGTCATGTCGCAGACACCTTCAAGGCCATAAAACAAATGGTTCATTTAATGACGAAAGTTAATTAAAACTAACTACAATACCCATTTCCCTAACTCAATTCGCGTAATAACTTCCCTTTTATACCTATTTTATTATATTATAAGCAAAATAACTCACATATCCCCAACATTATTGTTCATCTCTTAGAGTAAGAGTTTCCAACGTGGATAGACAGTACAAAAATCTAGACACAGATTATTAAAAGCAGTTAGCAGTGATTTATAACCTTTACCTGAAAAGTAATTTGTATTGCAATTTTTTTTTATAAACAGACAAAATAAGAAAATATATTATTTTATAAGAAATATAAAAAAAGAACAAAAAATTTAAAATATGTCCGGAATTTAACGGATTTAAGACAATTCTATTGTGTTTGTGTATTTGTGATTTATTCTTAATTTTAAGAGTGATCAAATTATTATTTATTTAACCCCATTTTGTATGAAGGCGTAAAGCTGCTTTAGCCAAAGCGAAGCATCTTATGTATTATGGCCCTTATTTATTGTTATAGACTGTTTGTAAACATAATATTTACACAAAAATAATATATTAAAACATGCGAATAAAATTATTTAATACGAAACAATCTATAAAATTTGGAAAAAATATATGAAAAGCACGTATTACGTCGTGATAAAAAGCCAAAGCTGTTTATTGTAGTTGAATAATAAAATATATTAACATATCTGCATTGTAAGTTTATCTTTTGGAACTAGGATTTTTTCTTAGTTTTTCTATGGGATATTTAATGCAAATATGTTGTCATTTTGTGTATGTGTGCTTGGTGATTCCTTACCTCTGTACCCCTGGTTTCTGGCCGTTCCACAGATAGTCTTCGATGTAGCGTTTAGGTCCGTCTTCGTGATCTCCATCCACGTGATTCATTAGAGGCTCTGCTTCTACTAACCCTGGAAATATATATATCTCATATATACGATATGATTGGGCAAGTTACAAATAACTTTGTTATTTAAATTTTTCATAGTTTATCATTTTAAAGCTATGAAAATAGTAGTTCTTTCAGAAATTTAGGACTATAAAGAGTAATTAGGCATAGGTATCTAAATAATATTATTCACGCATACTTTATGTAGGATATCAAAATTATTTAATATTGAAGTAATCAGTATGTTTAAATATTCAATGATTATTATTATATATGCAGTTCTTATCATCGACTATCTTTAACTTCAAATTTTAATAAAAAGAAGTTGAGATATGAAAGTAATTGTGAGATAAGAAAAAAATATGATAAACCACAAAAACCAAGAAAGAAAGAAAAGAATTTTTCCAAGGAACGATAATTCTATTATAATTAATATAAAGAAAGATAAAGAAAGAAAGATTACATGTAATAAAAGACAGAAAAACAGTCCTACTTTAATCTCAACTTGACTATATTCTGTGATCAATTTCCTGAACTAAACATTCCCTGGGAACGCATTGATATCAATTTGTCTCCATTACTTGAATGTACCACTTAATTGGAACAATTTGACTTCACAACATGAAGAAAATGTTAGAAGATAAGTTTTTTGTTTTAATTACGAAATACTGTGAATTCAAAATTGAGTTTAAAGGTCGGAATTCAAAATTAATCCTCATTTCAAGTTGGAGATATTCAAATTTGACTCAAACTTCTAGTTTCACTGTTCAGTTAAGTTCCTGCATGGCATTTGTATTATTAAGACTCTGTATTTTCACGCTTTCAACTTCGAGGTGAGTTACGAAGCATTGTTTAATTATGAACTCAATAATTATAGGTATTTTGAACTGAACGCTAGTTATTTCGTGAATATCATGAAATTTTATATTGTTTTGTCTTCTTTATTGGAGAGTACATTACGTTATTATATAACATTGAGAGAAATAAATGCATAATTGATTTATTATTTTATTTTAATCACTATTTATGTTAAAAGAAGGAATATAAAGAAATGGTTTTCATTAACACGTACCTAGTTAATACAAAAAAAAAAAACAACTACTTCGTGTTGGCGGTGTCCAATCAATTAATTTAAATAAACTAAAAGATTATATTGTCGAATTGTACTTTTAATCTAAGTTTTAGGCTAGTTCTTTGTCATTTGAGTTTAGAGTAACTTACTTATACATATATGAGTATTTCGATTTAAGTTTTCTTACCTTCTCGTATAGTGTACTTCAACAGTGTTTCAAAACTTCGTAACTTAGAAAACTAGTCAACTAGTCTACAGTGAAGGATACCTCTCAGACATACTGCTGTTTGTAACCACGTCTCAAGTCCGCATCAAAATGTATTATGCATGACATAACTTTTGTTGCATTTCGTATTCAAATGCAATGAATTCATATATAATTCTAAAAGTATCTGCTGTTTCCAGTAATAATATTAAAATGATGAACGAGGTCAGAAAAATTCTTTTGTTTATATACACAAAACACTGAGTAATACAGGAGTTTTTTATTATGTTATTTATATTACTATTTAAATGAAACTAATATTTTCGGATTACTACTTTAATCTACACACTCTCGTAATTTCGTCGTCGTTTTTACGGCGCAGGTTCGCAACCTGACAAGTACTAATGTGACTTTTCCGAGTCATATATGCTTTCTATGTGGTCTCTGATAGGCTAATGATGATGAGGATTAACAAGTCCTACCTTCAGCCACAGCGGCTTTCTTGAGTGCTCCCATGGAGATGCTCTTCCTCGGCACCACTTCATCTTTAGGCCATGCGAACTGGTTCCGATACTCGGTGCTCACAGTTTCGGGCTCCTTCGCCGCTAGGACTTCGCCCAATGCTGTAGTCGCCTGATGGAGGTTTAAATTGTATGACAATGATATTTACGCTGGTCTACAATTAGTATTTGATTTGCCCTATGTGAGCTGATTTTTGCTTGGTTTCGGATTATTCTTGTCAAAAGTATCTATTTGAATACTCTATTTTCATTGAATTTTATTTATAGTACATGTTAAAAAAAACCAATGGTATCAATGATAAGTTCATACTTTCACCACTTTTTTTTTTTTTTTTTTTTTTTTTTTTTTATGTGAAAGCTGGCAAACGAGCAGACGGCCCACTTGGTGGAAGGTGGTTACCGGCGCCCATGGACATCCGCAACATCTATGTTGCGGATGCGTTGCCAACCTTGTTTTGTAGGGATAGGGAGGGGTGGGAATAAGGAAATGGTAGGAAAGGATGGGAATAGGGAAAGGGCAACCGGCTCTCTCACTCATCGGACGAAACGCAGCCATTAAAGGCTACTTCACGCCGATCTTCTGTGAGAGGGTGGTACTTCCCCGGTCGAGCCAGCCCATGTTCGAGCTGTAGTAACGGACTACAGCTAGGCTCTACCACCTAATGCACGGCTATAAATTTGATTGGTTTAGAAAATGTTATAGTTCTTATATAACTAAAACTATTCATTTATTGTGCAAATTATATAAATATAGATGTTAGTCTAGTCTAGAATCAGTCTAGATTTAATTACAATCGAACGTTCAATATCAAGATGCAATAAAACGACACGGTTCACTAAGCGGAAGCCCTATCTACATTTGTAATATTGTAGATAGTTTGTCATAATAGGATTAGTCTCTCCGCACCGCTCTTGTAGTATCTCATTATTCTATTCAAAAGTCACGAGACTATAGTCTAGTTCACACCACGCGTTCTGTCAGTTGGAGATAGCTGTAAATCCCTATTTTTATGGAGCTCCAGCCAGACAATAGCTATGAGGATTATGGAACACTAGCTTTCCGCCCGCAGCTTCGCCCGCGTGGAGTTCGGTTATATCGCGTTTTCAAAAGAACCTTTCAAAAATCTGGGATAAAAACTATCCTATGTTCTTTCTCAAGTTCAACTCTATCTCTGTACCAAATTTCATTAAAATCAGTTCAGTGGTTTAGGCGTGAAAGCGTAACAGAGAGACAGACAGAGTGACTTTCGCATTTATAATATTAGTAGGGATAATAGAGACTACATCATTTGCATAGAATATTAACGCCCAAAAAATGTGTAAAAAACATTAATTTAGTACTTGTAAGTTTCCGCATGTTTTATTGTTATTTTTCTTGGTTATAAGATCTATTTTATATATTTTCTTTACCTTAGGCTCCACGGTGTCTGTCCAGCGTGGTTGGCGCGGACCTTCGGACTTGCTGCGTCTCCCGGCACGCTCTGAATCATTCCTCTGAGCACTCTGTGATGATGAGAGATATATTTGACCAATTAACCTACTCGCAAATTAGGGTCAGGCATATTAACTATGAATAGTCATATGGGCATGGATAAGTCATAACAACTTTTATAATGAGACAGAAAACAGTTTCATATTTAATGATAGAAAGAACGGATAGTATAATGACGGAAAACTGTTTTCATAAGTTAAAATGTTCAAGATAATTTAAATATACTCTTTAAATAAAAGGAATAAAAATGTTTCAAAAATATCTGACATCTTAGAAGACTTAAAACTGATATAAATGTATTTATAAAAGGTTACATTCATAAAAAAATGTCTTAATTTATACGTAAATTTCATTTACATAAATACGAACATTAAATATTACATCTTCATATTATCTTAAGTAGAAAGAGAATATGTAAAACGAATTAAAAACTATATTAAAATAAATTTTTGTCCTAAACAAATGTCTATATAGAAATTAATGAACTAAACTATCATAAATATATTTATATATAACAGTCTAAGGAAACGGATATCATTAGGCAGTGCTTTAAGGATGAATGGAACATTTCCGACAGGGAATATTGAGTTGTGGAATAACAGGACATAAAATACTATATATGACTGACCCGGGCGCGCTCGAAGGCGGATGCCTGTTGAGGTCGAATGTCGTCAGCAGGCGCCGGGTCGAACAGCTCGTTCGTCTTGTAAGCTACACCTGGATACTTCTTGCGACGAGGCATAGCAGGTTCGATGGCCCCTGTGAATAGACCTAAAAAATTTAACTATCTAACACGTCCATTGAATCAATCAATCACGTTGAACATAAAAAGAAACTTAACAAATGTTTATCGTTCATAATGAGAAGACTTTCGAGTATTCATTTAAATGAAACTACTCGTAATATTTTTCGGATTATACTAGCCGTGATCACGGTTGTCGAAAAGTAACCGAAACGTATGTAGTATGTAGTTTCTACAATAATAATTTACGCGTTGTATAATTCGAAAAATATTAGTTTCATATCTTTCATCCATCGGTATATTTCTCTCAATTTGAGAATGTTAAAACTAATTGTGTCATATTGAAAATATTACGATTATTTTTAATTCTAATATTCAAAAGAATGAGAAAGAACAAAGCGTTTTGTAATTACGAGTACTACCAGAACTAAATACATATTTCTTTTCTTCTTAACTCGCTCGAAGCGGCATGGCCTGAATAATTAGCTAGTATTTTATTGCTTGATATAAAGTTTTTTTTATTATACGACTAATAATCATCATATAACACGAATCAGTTATAAGTCAGTGATGGCCTAGTGGTTAAAAGGCTCGCCTCTCATGCATGAGGGCGCGGGTTCGATCTTGGCAAGTACCTACCAATGTGATTTTTCCGAGTCATATGTTCTTTCTAAGAGTATTTAAATATCACTGATTAATGCATTCCCAAAGAGGGTTGATATCAGTCAGGCAGGCAAAACAAAAAACAATTAGCCAAAACTATTCACAACATGTAAGGCAGACCCTGGCTAAACCTGGGAAATTGCCAGGTAGAAGAAGAAAACGATTCAGTTATATGCATATATTTATGCATACGTTGACCTAATTTCATTAGATTTAAATAGGATGCTGGGTAATTTAAGAGGTAATTTGAGGAACATTGCAGTCTCGAATGCATGGGGATACTTTTACCGTCTTTATTGAATGAGTACAGTACTTACATACATAGGGTGTGTGTATAAGTATTATATGTATATAGGGTATATTATCAAGATATCATTTCATACTAAGAACATACTGCGAAGGCAGCCCTAGTATGTTTTTTTTCAAATTTGGTTAGTTAGAGAGAGGAGCTTGGACGGTGGAGGTGAGCGTTTAACGCGCGTTAGATAGGGACCCTGAAACCTACACCTGGGTCACAAGTCCCAGTCACTGTTGAAGCTCCTCTCACTACAACGATGGACCCGACACACGCACCGTGAGTACATGGAATGATGAGAGGTTTCCTTTTGTCTGTATTGTATGTACTAAAACTGTATTCATATAGTTCAAATGAGGTTTCTTAAACGTTGAGATATTCTTTATCAGTGATAAGAATTTAGATCTAAATTTAAACGAAAAATATAGTAAATCTCTGTGTTTTTTTGCAATAAAGCGAATACTTGCGTCATTGTTTAGGAACAAAGAATGCAATGGCTTAGAATCGTGTACGTGGTTGCGATGTGACTTTTCTTTGGAAAAAGATTTTATTTAGGACGCGTAATGTAATTTGAACTCTATTACATTAGGTTTAGTGTCAATTATTTTCTAAAACGCTTGACTGCAAAATAAAAAGCAAACACCGGCAATATTTTTATCATTATTATACCTATTCATGTAAGTCTTAGTAGTATGTACCTCTTTATATATATAAATATACATATATAGCCAGTTTATTTGGATTGCATAATAATTTGTCAAAATACCGATGATCATTGCAAATTGCAATCAAAAAGTTCTCTTAATACACTAATTAAAAGCCTCTTGAAACAAAAACATGCTTAAATTGTAACATTTAATTGAAGTATCTACACTAAAAAAAACAATAAACTTTTAACTTCAACACGATAGTTTTTATCATAATAAAAAACGATATATTTTTTTAAATGAAAATAATATGTTCCAGATTACTAAGCATTTATTATTATTAAAAACTACATACTCCCAGGTTTCAGTACGTCTGTAGTATGTATGTAGTAAGTAGTTTTTTTAACTAATAAAATATGCGTAGTAATCCAAAAAATATAAGTTTCATTTAAATGAATACCCGCGAAAGTCTTAGATCTCATTATGATATTTTTCCCTTATTGCCTTTTATTTCTGCTGCTAGTATATCCTCTTATCCCTACTAATATTATAAATGCGAAAGTAACTCTGTCTGTCTGTCTGTCTGTCTGTCTGTCTGTCTGCTACGCTTTCACGCCTAAACCACTGAACTGATTTTAATGAAATTCGGTACAGAGATAGAGTTGACCTTGAGAAAGAACATAGGATAGTTTTTATCCCAGACTTTTGAAAGGTTCTCTTGGAAACGCGATATAACCGAACTCCACGCGGCGAAGCTGCGGGCGGAAAGCTAGTAGTATATATATTCGTTCTTACCGCGTGCTATCGGCAGTGCAGTGGGGGGAGTGGGTGCTGGCTGCTTCACCACCCCCTGCTGCTGTTGCTGCTCCTTGTACTCGTGCCATCTGTAAGTGCTGCGATATTCGGAGTGCAGCTGAAAAGATTACCATACGTTATTTATATAATTATAAAAAGGATTATACAATATATATACTTTTTGGTCGAAGAAATTTTCGGTAACTGCCAGGTTTATTGATTTTTTTAAAATTAAAAATGCAGATTAAAAAGTACAGAGATAAAATTAATATGCATAGATTTTTTAATTTATTTAAAAAGAAAATTATAAGGAAAATCCTTCTAATATGCTGTATTTTTAGATCGATATTTGTCATTGCTTCTAGATTGCATTAATCTTATAATTAAAATCCATTAACGACAATAGAAAAACATAATATTTCATTATCAAATAAATATATAACTCAGATCAGTTGCATTATAATTGATTAAATAGATAGAGTTTTATTTTTAGTCAATTTATAAGAGAAATCTAGTATAGCGAATGACCTCAAAGAAGCGTGTCCGTAAACAATGACCCGACTGTGTCCTAAATAACATTTACAAGTGACGTGTTCTAAGGCAAACTGTTTTATCTAATGCCGTACTAATTCTAGATAAGTTGATGTGTTTACAGTATACTATGTAGGTTGCATACTTACTTTTAAATTTAAAAAAATGTGATAATTTGTCTATGGTTATTATTAAAATGACCACAAACAATAGTTTAGATTAAGGATTTTTTTTAAATTTAAGCAACAATTATGTTAAATAACTTTTTTGTCATAGATTTTTAAATAAGACGAGAATTAAATCGTTTATTTAAAGATATAGTATGTAGGATATATATGTATTTATAAATCTTTCCTTGAAAGCATTAAAACACGTAATATATGTACATGGCAACATTGAATTTAAACGACACAGTCTGGCAACAGTAATAAAGTTACAGTAATCAAATCGCACACGTCAAAGTCACGCTCGGAATAGCACAGACTGTTGTAACGAGATCAACAACATATTTGACAAACATATCATGATTACTCTTAAATGTATGTAGTACTAGCTGATACTCGCGACTTTGTCTGTTGATTGATATATTAAGAATTCCATATATAAAAAAAACACTTACAAACATATGTTATGAAATTCTTTAAAAAAAATTTATTATACAAGTATTACGCTACGCTATTATTGCAACGCCATCTATTGACCTTATTTATGAATTTAAACCATCTGGAGCACATTCCAAATACATACAAAAAATATTTAAATCATTTTTTTAAGAGTTCAGTGACATACACGCATACTAAAATTATTCTATAAATATATGAAATATTTTGTATAATAAATGAGTAATATACTCATACAACTATATGTATATATAATCAATTGTTTTGAAATATCGTAAATACTATAAAATGAACAATACAGTTAAATTGGAACGGTTTTATGTAATCGTTATTCAATTTTATGTCTCAACCGTTACTGAACGGCGGCCATTATTATTTCCGGGTGACAGCGTCTAAAGATATTTGACACGTTGTCAAGTTAAATACAAAATTCTTAGTAAATTAAAAGTTTTTGAAGCCCTTCATTTATTATAATTAATTTATCAAAATTATAATTAAATTTAATTTCTGTATTGTAGATATTATAAGTATATATATTTTTTTTAATTAAACGTATTTATTGTTGGCATAATACATTTTAACCAAATTTATTTTGTAAAAAAATAAAAATAAAATTGAGTTACCGAATCCCTCATGAACAAAACTGATTGTTGTCTCGTTTTCATATGAATTGTTTTAATGTATACTAATATAATAACGTATCATAATAGATAATAAAAATTCAACAATAAGTACGAGTAAAAAAACCTCTTAATTATAAGGAATAAATTAATAAAGTAAGTAAAGTATATCAAAATACGAATAAAAAAATTACATATGTATGCAATATGCATAGATAATTATAATTATATTCACACAAAAATGGACAATATATATCAAAACAAAATATGTCAAAACGGCAAGTTTCTAGACTGATTAGACAATAAATGACGACAGCTTTTTAATGCTATGGCTTCCTATGTACCTACTGGAATAAAGTTTAAATACTGATGTCCTTATATTTGAAAGAAATTATTACCTTACACTATTTTCATTATAATAAAGGCATAAACATTTTACGTATTATATATATTTAGGTTTATTTCAAAAGAGGGTTGATGTCAGGCAGGCGGCCGGTAGTAAAACAATTAGCCAAAACTATTCACAACATGTAAGGCAGACCCTGGCTAAATCTGGGAAATTGCCAGGTAGAAGAAGATACACTTAGGTTAATAACATTTCAATTTGAGTTAGTAATTTTCTATATTTAACATAATGACTACAAATTTATACTTAGATTCATTGCTTAAACAAAACACATTAAAATAATACTCCAAAAGATATTCAGAATAAAATAAAAATAAGATTATGTATATGGCTACTGTATGTAAAATATTTGAATAATATTATAAATATTACACTTCGTAACGTAAGTGCAAGTCGTAAATTATTTCATCATACGACTAAATTCAGCGTACGTGTTAAATGTACAAAGTGGAGCGAGGCTTACAAAACAATGCAGAGAAAGTGGAAATTTAAAAATCTAGATCATATTACGAATTTTTAAGATTGTATTCGTAAGAATAGTAATAAATGAATAACTTCTTCTTTCTGTCAATTTCCCAGCTTCAGCCAGGGTCTGTCTTACATGTTGTGAATAGTTTTGGCTAATTGTTTTTACGACCGGCCGCCTGCCTGACATCAACCCTCTTTGGGAAGATCTTACTATTGTATAAAATTATAGATATGTCAAAATTTGACGTCAAAATCAAAATGGCGGATATACGTAAATATTAAAATTTCAAATACTTAATATATTAGTATCTTTTGATTATCTCCATATTGTATTTTTTCCCTCGGGATTTATTCCTAGTTTTTGTACGAAAGATCATATATTCGGTAAAGTTGACAAAAAACTGTAGACCAACGAAAATTATCGTTGCATTTTTAACATAAGTATACCTAACTTATAAAATATAAATAACGGTATCTGTTTGACCTTTAGTAACCTCTGAGAGATTGCTTCTATAGCAATTTGCAATTTCGAAGCGAATCGATGCTTGAAACTAGTTGCGTTGAAAATGATAATTTCTTGTTTCATATTATTACTTGTTTGAGGAGTGTTTGAGGCTTCATTAAATTGTAAAACTCTTGTTTGGCATTTGTGATAACATATAGGTTATATACATATGCGATTGATTTTCTATTTTCTTTAAAGCTCATTTAATCCATTCTTTTAAATTTCATTTTACTAATTTTATTACTAAAGTATAAGTGTATGTGTGGGTACAATAAGATCTATAGTGTCGAATTTTATATTTTTTACGAGGTCATATATTGGAGTGAATACTTTTTATCCAATAAGCAGGGGTTAAATTTCATTTATTTATTACACAAATACAATTAGTAACGCCAAATACTATTAATGTTTGATAGGCATAAAATAAAAGAATATTCATAATTATATACGGCTATTTTTCAATCACAGAGACCTTAATCGCTGAATCAAACAATTTCTGGAAGTTTCATATTAATTTCACGAAATTTCATATTAATTTCACGAAATTTCATATTAATTTCACGAACTTTCATATTTTTGTCACGAAATATTTCAACGATAGAAGTTACACGAAACAGGTCAATGCTTGTGTGTTAAATAACGTGAATTTGTCACAAGGACATACAGATGTACATTAATTATTTGGTTTATGAATACCTTCCTGGACTTAGACTTCTATCTCTTCCGAGCTATCAAATTATAAGTGTCATTGACCTTAAAATTTTTTTGTTTCTGAAATATTGATATCTCAAAAATATGGTCAACTTCCACCAACAAATGTTATATTAAATAATAACCAATAAAAATTTGATATATTAGGTCTTTAATTAAACATTCTAATATTGTTATATACTAAATAAATCCCGCGTCTTTGCTCGCCTGATTTATGACAGATTATTATTTATTATTCCAATGTTAATACAGTATAGTAATATTGCCACATTGGTAAGTTCATCTGGAATCTTCTGGTAACGACCAGGTGTTCGTTTTGCAGAGCCAGCAGTCAAGCAGTAACTCTTTATATGTAAATGTAACATACAAAGATGCCCGGCGATGTTTGATAAATCTTAATATAATATGTTTCTTAATTAACAATTCTACCATACAATAAGTTATTGTTCATTAAGCTGACTTTGTTTTATATTATGTATAAATTATGCTGATTTTGTAGCCATTATTCTTAAAAAATGTTCAAACTTTATTTTCATATATACGCGGGAAAATATTTGTTGAAACGACTTGTGTCTTTGTAAATTGAATTTTACTTATTGAAGATGTTTTGGTTTAAGATAATAATTAGTTTCTACTAGTTAAGGTTTGATATGTTATTTAAATATAATTATATTTTTTAATAATCTTGTTGCAATTATATATATATGTATTTAAAACAGTAATGTTGGTTTAATAACTTTATTTACAATACTTTTAAATTTTAAAAGTATTGTATTTATATAAATTTAAAAATAAATATTATTAAATAGTTACAAATAAGCTTGTAATATCTTAGCATAAAGTAAGACTTGATAAAAGATATAAGATAAAAGATAATGTATCTTTTGTATGTTAAGAATAATGTTATCGCAGTTTACAAGATAAGCGAGATTTATCTGATTTTATTAAATAATAAAAAAATGCACACGAGAATACATTGAGATACATATATAAATAACATAAAAATGCTATATAGCTATCCTTACTATGCGTTTACGACGAAATGAATACCGAACATTTCGAGTTAACTATGTACATAATCTCACGTTAGTAAATGCAAAAATATTTATGAATGAAAAACGAAAAATATCACGTATTTACTTAGACGATACAAAAACATGGAGTAAAGATTAGGATTGACGTACTTTCACAAGAATTTTCTCAAGATTCGTACAAAAAAAATTGATTATCTATCGGTTACAAAGAACATTTTTCATGAAATATGCATAGGTATATCTTATCTTTATAGGATAAAGTTATAATCTTTTGTTACTTTGTTTGCGTAAAATAAAATAATTATTATTTTTAGATTTAAATTAGAAAATATATAAAGATACGATACGACCAGGATTTAAATCTCAACCACTCTTATATACATATATTTATTTTGTTCTATATTGCAAAATTTAAATATAAAATATAATTCCAAATTAGCTAATATTGGAAAATATACTTATGGAACCAAAAAAATCCTTCAATTACTTTAATTTTAAGAATGAAAAGCAACAAAAATATTGAAGATTTTCTTGCATAATATAAATATTTTTTTATCTTTTATCTTTTTTATCTTTAGTTATCTTTATAACTGAGATTTACGTCTGTTTACTGACTCAATATTTTAATCAGTACCAACTGTCGGCTATTCAATTGAAACAATGGCGGGAGAAATTTGTTTAAATGAGCCAGTGAAAGTCGTGAGACCGTGATATAAAAATAGCAACGGATTTATGTGAGGGAAAATCTTATATAATTCATTTATAACAAGCTCCAGTACATGGGTTTGTCTGTTATATTATATATTTAATATGTATGTAGATTAATATATATAAATTTTTATTCGTAAGCTGAATTCTCTTTGTATTTTTAATTAATATGAGCATAATAACAATTGAAATATAAAATGGCCGTCGCTCTTGAAGCATTCCGTCAATGGTTTGACGCAAAAAGTACTATTTTTTTCAATTTCTTTGCGTACATATAAGTACTCTATTTTATTCTATGTATTAAGAATTTTATATAACTATATCAATAAATAATATTTCTTTTAAAATATTAGATCTGCGTTTTTCAATACAGATTATATACATATATTTAAAACGTCTTGATACAGATAATTTCTTCTCCAGTCTAAAATCTATGTCAGTGATGTTCAGACCGGGTCGTTGAACTTCGATCGTTATATGTTTTAGGTCACCTCATTAAACACTGTTCCACTAGCGACTAGACCGACGTCTTATACACTATAAAATGGATATTTAATTTTTGGTTTAAAATTTGGTTTAAATTGGTTAATTTTACTTTTTATCACATAAAAAAGTTCCACTATTTGTAACTCAAGAACGATTGTACGGGTTTTTCTGACAAGTGGAGAGATAGTTTAAAACTAGGAAAAGGACATAGGATACTTTAATAAAATCCAAAATCTTTTAAATTCATTGCCTTTAATGAGGAACAGAGTTCACTCGGTTAGTTATATATATGTATTTATAATTGTGAAATAAACGCAGACGAAGTTGTTGACAAAAACTAGTTAAACGTAAATTATATCTGTTTTAAGTTAAAATTGTATATACTTTTCAATTAAACTATCTACTTACTAGCCAAGCAACAAAAATCGTTTAAATTTGAGTCAAATCTACCTCTAAGGGTTCCGCATTATTATTTATGAAAACTAATTAATAAATCTGATTCCCAAAAAAAAGAGGTTTGATGTCAGGCAGGCGGCCGGTCGTAAAACAATTAGCCAAAACTATTCACAACATGTAAGGCAGACCCTGGATAAAGCTGGGAAATTGCCAGGTAGAAGGTAGAAGAAGAATTAATAAATCATGTATCATTAAAAATATAATTTATTCCGTATTTAGTATATATTATAACAGTTATTAAGTCAGTACATCAACTGTGAAAATACCAAATGTCTAGCTATTATAGCGCATGAGTCGACAGATAGAAAGTGGAATCATGTAAAGGTTCCCGTTTTACCATTCGCATGCGGGACCCTAAAATAATACCCAGATAATAAATCCATAATAGCTTACCGCTTGATGTAGTTTCAGGTAAAAAGTCTTTTGTTAAAATCTTTTTCATATTTTTTAAACGTCGTTGGCGTCGTTTGAAGAACTTACTTATAACATCGATAAATCAAGATATATTTTATTTTGTATATAAAGAAATATTAATATAAATAGGTATGTTGAAAATATATATATATTATACTTTTTGTTTAATCTTTTGAGATAATGTTTATAAATATTTACGTAATTTACATTTTAATGCAATATACAATGATCATATACATGACGTTTGCAAAAACTTCGGTATAAGTTATGTATCGAATTAATTGTAAATGAAATAGTCAATAGAAAAATATAATATATAAATAAATTTCATAATGTACATAAGATAAAGACATATGTTATACATATGTATTCGTATGTATGCTTGAAAATATTAATATATTTCGGAACCATATAATTTTCCTAAGACGTCATTTTCTGGCTGCAGCCCCATCTGTCTGATTGATGTGGTGATCTAGTCCATCGTGGCTACCACGCAAGTGAATACGAAAAAAATTTATTTAATTCAGTGACATACACACATACGTAGAATTGTATATACATACATATTGAAAATATGAGGGAAAAATTTTAAACCATTAAATTATAAAATACGATTAAGATTTATAATTTCCTTAAAGCCGTTAGGTACGTATATATTGAAATTAAACTATCACATTTTCAATTTGAATAAAAATTAAAGAAATTTATTGTAGGCTTATATTATAAATAAACAAAGTTTAATTTAACTGATTATAATGAGATCTAAGATTTACGCGAGTATTCATTTAAATGAAACTAATATTTTTCGTATTTACTACGCCTTTATAATTATTTTTAACATACTCCCGACGTTTCCTTATGTGTATGTGTATGTGTGTTTGTTCGTTTATTTCAGAATAGGACAGAAACTCATACAAGTATAGCTGTGAAATTATATATCTGCTTCTACATTAAATTTCAGTACAAATGAAGTTAATTTTCAGATTATAGTCCCTTAAGTCTAACTATTTTTAGTGTATATGTCGCTCATATTAAATACCGTGACTCTGTCTGTATATTTTTATAATCCACGTGCTTGTCTTACAAAACTCATTATAATGTTATGTACACGATCGCGTGTGTAGAATGTATGCGCTATGTCTGAAAAATGTGTCCCAATTATGAAGAAACAATTTCTACAAGTATATATATACTAGCTGACTCGACAAACGTTGTTTTTCCATATAAATATAGGGGTTGGTGATAAAATTTAAAAATTTTGGGTTGTATGTATTTTTTATGCTACATTATAAAATAAATAAAAACAAAAAAAATCATCTGAAAATTAAAAAAAAACCATTAAGGGTGAACAACCCTAATGACTTAGGGGTAAGAAAAGTAGATGTTGACGGATTCTCAGTCTTACTAAATATGCTCATAGAATTTCATCAAAATCGGTCCAGCTGTTTCTAAGGAGTTCTCTGTGTAACACCGAACAACGAGAATTTTATATATAAGATATACAGACAATTTGTTAGACATTTTATGGTATTATTACACCTAAAATGATAAACTAAATCTCAAATATTGGTTAACCGATAAGAATCAAAATATTCATTTTGAAGTAAATGTTATATTCTCAATAAAATATTTATGACGTCATAAAAATAATTAATACTTGATTATTATATAGTTTTTATATGAATTGTATTACGAGGAAGTTATATTTTTATAGCTTCCTTGACTAACTATATATACAGGGTGACTGGTGAATTACTATCGATATTTGAGGACGTGATATTTGACGATCATATATGACAAAATAAAAATTAATATAACATAAATATTAATAAACTTCTAAGTAAAGTTAACCAAAAGTTATGTAATTAATTACGCATCGTGTAACCACCCTACAGATTAGGTATACACACACACACACACTCGCGCGCGGCGGCGTGTTGTTGTATCAGCACGCCGCCGCACGCGTCCACACTTGGAACACTTGGAACGTGTACACACTTTATTTATTTATACGGAAATTTGGTCAAAAATTAAGTGCCTATTTTTTTTACATAATTCGAATGATAATCATGTACCGAGTATGCTCCTTAAATATTGATAGTAATTCACCAGTCACCCTGTATATGTATATTGCATTCTTCAATATCAATAGATAAATTTCTAAGTACTTATTATCATCATAAAAGATAAAAAATCAGGAAGCAATCTAAATACTAAAATAGACATGATAAGACTTTCACTAAAAGATAGAATTTAATTTATTAGTAATATTTTTGGTATTAATTTATGAGTTTTTAGATATTTTTTTATACATACTTCATTCAAAGTCAAATAAAATGCTTATGTTAAAATTCAGAACCATTTTGACAAGCAGAACCGTGTGGTAAAACATAACTTATTTAGGAAAAAAATCAAATATTATATATTTATAATGTACTGGAAATAGTTCTAGTATAGATAATAATATATTGGTTGAAACTTGATGTTTAATAAATTGAGAAATGATTTAGAAACGGATTTCAAAGTGCGGTAAAGAATGGTTTTCCCCAAAATAAACAACTTCAAAAAAACTGTATAGACAACATACGCTACAGTTGTTATAATTTTTTAAAAAGGAAGAAATATATACATATGTATATATATTTTTTACTATTGTATGAAAAATATGGAACAATATTAAAAATATTACACGTACTATAAAAAGTCATCCAAGTATATAATAAAGAATATATTTAATTAATATTATTATTTATATAATACATTATATAATCATATATACAAGTCGAAATAATACATAAGTTTCAGTGTTTATTTATGTATAAATATTGATTTTTTACATTACATTACTTACTTCAGAAGCCCACTGTATGTGCCTCGTGTCCAAAACGCTTCTTTCCATTCTAAGAAAGATCACGACACCATTTCACTTACACGAAAACATATAATAATATATATATCTCGTAAAATGTTCTTATATTAAAAAACTGCGTCCGAACACCTCAATACTATATCACTCACTGACTAATAATGCAATTTATGCAATTTTTTCTCAAATAACAGCTGATGACTAAGTCACTCACGCTTCGTCAGGTTAGTGTCACGAAAGAGAACCTATATTGCTTGACTATTCACACCGTGGGGGACTCAATACAACGACATTAATTTGTTACAGAAACCCTTGCTTCCTATAAGGCACTGTGTACATGGCACTTTATGTATATAAAAATTTGGCTATCATGTTTTTATTTGGCGTTATTATAAGAATTACTAGTGGTACCGTGATGCGGGGCGATGGCCGACTAAGGTAAGAATGAAGGAGTGGTGGTTGCTAGTGGTGGGATCGATACCACAGTCTGGGGCGCACGCACTGACCGACGGTATAAGAAACTATATTTAGATATACCTTCACCACTATACTGTCGCACTTATCTACTATATATTTTACGCCATATACTGAATTATTATTTACATTATGACTGTTTATATCCATCGATCAAACGAGTCATTACTTTCGGAGTTATGACGTAACAAATAGATAAGAATATACATATATATACATATTTTTGTATGTATATTTGATACAATGAATTTGATAAGGCATACTATAGCAATATTGCACGATGACAATTGGTGTGATATAAATTTAAAGGCGTATTCTGAATTGTTCCTTCGTCATACTCAAAGCAGGTATATATTAAATATTTTTGTCAATTAAATTCCCAGCTACAAAATATGTAAATGAAATTAATATTTTTCGGTCTCGGTTACTTTACAGCAACCGTGAACCGAACCTTTAAAGTAACCGAAACGTCATTAGTATGTAGTTTTGGATAAAAATAAAAATCGCGTAGTACATACGAAAAATATTAGTTTCATTTAAATGAATACTCGCGAGTCTAAGATCTCATTACAAAATATGATATTTAGACAGATTTTTATGCAACTTTATCCGAGAGATAGGTAATGTTGTGAGAATATTTTTAGTAATTTATTTTACTCCATTCTCAACATCCTGTTCGCAACAATAATTTCTTATTACTTCTGTATTATAATGTAATAAAAAAGCTTTCAATGTCATCAGTTGTACAGAGTCGATAAAAACGATGACAATATAAAAAATTGGTCTATTATTACTGGTTAGGTGCGGCAGTGAATTTGAGAAGGCAATACATATACAATGTTATGCTGAAAACTGTCCGTATGTTTGTAAAACTAAAACTTTTGTAATTTATTCTTCTACCTGGCAATTTCCCAGCTTTAGCCAGGGTCTGCCTTACATGTTGTGAAGAGTATTGGCTAATTGTTTTTACGACCGGCCGCCTGACATCAACCCTCTTTGGGAATGCATTAATCAGTGGTGTCTAAATACTCTTAGAATGTACATATAATTCGGAAAAATCACATTGGTACTTGCCAGGGCCAGGATCGAACCCGCGTCCTGATGTATGAGAAGCGGATGTATTACACACTTACATAAGTACACTTACATAAGTGAAGCATGGGTAAAATGTCTTACAAATAAATTAATAAAAATTCGTTGGTTTTAAAGAGAGACGCCGGCATCGCTGACGTCACTAATGACACTTCTTTCAGTACGTTCCATGATATTTTGAAATGAAAGTTCAATTGTTCTAAATGTTCTCACTGAACTCTGCCGCGTGCGTCCAGACGTCATATTTATACTAAAATTCAAACATATGTAGTTCTATTCTCCTTTTAAACAGTCTTTGATTTTGTTGTACTTTTAACAATAATCATGAATACCAATTACTTTTTATGAATTGATAACAACCTTTAGTTATTTTCAAGTCGCAACCCACATTAAAGCTAGTAGAGCCAAATATATACATATATAACGTCATATATACACATATATATACCGCCATAAATAAGTAGAGTTGATATTGATGGAGTTTGAAAAACATTAAGCCTTTCAACACAAGAGCTAAGTGCTCATTGTAATGTATATATGCGTCTCGTTCTTGAGAATAAAATAACCATAAGGAGTGAAAGGGATGGATTGAATTATAAAAAAGGTTATTTAATACTCCATTCTCAGTTAGAATTAACTGGTGCAGTAAAAACGTCGTAATCTAAAGCAGGCTGGTGCTATGCCAAGTTAGCATAAATGTGACTTAACTACGAGACTTTATCACTTAAAATATTAGAGAACTAAATATAGAAGAGATATTTAATCTTTTGAATGAAACTAATATTTACGGATTACTACGCGTTTTTTTATTATTTTATTTCTACATACTCCCAATTTTTCGGTTATTTTGCAGCAACTGTGATCACGGATGTGTAATTAAAATAATAAAATACTCGTAGTATTCCGAAAATATTAGTTTCATTTAAATGAATTATACTAAAGTCTTAGGTCTCACAATTTAATCTTGTAGTTTAAATACTGTATAGATTTTATTTCATAGACAAATGTCTGCAAATACTCCTAATTTTGATACTGACATCCTTCTTCTAGATCCAAGCTTTTCAACTTGACCTGGACTGTACTAAAGACATTAATAGGAAAGAACGGCAGGTCTAAATAACATACTACATATATAAAAGAAAGTCGTGTTAGTTACATTATTTATAACTCAAGAACGGCTGTACGGGTTTGGATGAAAAATGCTGGAGAGATAGCTTGAGAAATAGGAGACGGTCGTCAGATATTTAATTCTGTTTCATCAAAAAAGAAAAAAAAAACATATTAAATTCCAATATCCGGTTATTTACAGCCTCTAGGTCGAAATAGAGTTCGCCCGGTCAACTATGCACATATTGCTAATTCCGAAATTAACGCGGACGAAGTCGTAGACAAAAACTAGTATGTAGATATATTTGATGCAATTTAGTGGCTTAGATCAATGTAGAATTTATTTATACAATTGTAACTTATTAGTTGTTGGGCAATAACATATTCTATCGCGAATTATGACTACTATCTATCATTCTATCTATATATAGTCAAATTGGTAGATATAACGTTCTACTTGTAACTCTAGAACCAGTATGCTTACCCTAAGTTTTCAATCACACGATAAACGAGACGTTTTTGGTAAGCTTTGTATGTGATGTGATCTTGCAAAACTTGTGCTAAGCTAACTTATTGTTCATCAAATATATGCAGTATTGACTTTACATGAAGAGAGAATACATTTATATATTTTTGGCTTCTTGATTTATTTTTCAATAAATATATTATACCAAAGAAAAGCCTGATATTGCCTTACAATTTATTTATATATTTTACGCTTATGTATTTAATAATTTTGTTATTAGCATGCTTAGTAATAGTTCACATAGTTATACGTATAGAAGCGTTTCCTATTTCTCATTTCATCTACGTCATACTATAGTGCAACAAAAAGTATAAATGAAAAAACTTTATACACTTCGTTCATAGTATGACGATTCATACTTGGGATAAATAACCGCTGAAATTTTGTGGAGGGTAAAAAATCGAGAACGTTATTTTAATTTTATAATAAACTTGTTTTTCACCGCGACTTCGTCTAAATTTGTTTTAGAATTAGAATGGGTATAGCTGACTGGTCGAACTCTTTTCCTCCTTGGAAGCAGTTAATAAGAAAATTTTGGATTTTGAACTAGTAGTTTCAAAGTAACCTTTGTTATTTCCTTGTTCTGAGCTATCTTTCCACCAATTTTCATCCAAACCCGTACACCCTTTTTTCCATTATAAATAGTGTAAGTAATACAATTCTTTTATATAATATACATATTAAATTCTGATCGTTTCTATTATACAAGTACTATATTTTACATAACAAGTTTAACTATCAAGTAGATATTGAAGAGAAACTCATTGATGTATAGATTTCGGGGTCAAGATCACCCCGCTGGCTGCGAATGATTTATCACGCTGATAAATGGTTCGGGGTACAGACAAGAGGAAAATGGTTAATATTTTATCCTGAATAATTTCAAATAACCGAAATTAGATCACATTTTTTTGGGCTGGAGTCCAAAGTAAATGAACAGATTGTGGTATATTTATATTGTGGTTTACTAGTGAAGTCGAAATAGATGTTCAGTTTTTTTTGACTAAAATTTTGAAGTTATCGATTCTTGATAGAAGAAAAATTGCCTTCATAAATTATTTAGTATTTTCTATATATATAGTTAATGCCCAAGAAGTATTCTTAATTATAATCATAAAGATCATAAAAATATTATATCGTTTAATACTACCTACTATGAAATTATTTGCAAAATATTTAATTACAAAATTTTTCATATTATGTTTTGATATCGATTTTGATAAATATGTAGTTTAAAACTTAAATTCATTTAATCTATATATTTTAAAAACAAGCAAATCCGTATCTAAGAATTTAAGTAATTCATTCAAAAATTACATCAATAATTTTTGTGAAACTATAAATTTTTCCGGTTATTCTTTCCCTTTTCCTACCTTTTCTTCTCTCTCTCCTACAATCAAAGTCGGCAACGCATCTACAACATCCCTTATGTTGCACATGTCCATGGGCGACGGCGACTACCTTCCATCAATTGGCCATTGACATAAAAACAAAACAAATATGGTGTACCTAAGATTAATTCTAAATCAAATAATAGAAGTCTGCTTAAAAAACTAAAAAATGTATCCATATTTATAGCATCATCAGTCTATCAGAGCCAACTGCTCAGCAAAGGACTCTCCTTACATGGAGAAGGTTTGAGCATTAATCACCACGCTTGCTCAAGACGGCTTGATGATTTCAAACTTATAATCTGAAATTATAAGTCTAGGTTTCCTGACGATGTTTTCCTTTATTTGTCAGTGGTGTCTAAATACTCTTAATAAATACATAACTCGGAAAAATCGCATTGGTACTTGCCAGGATCAAACTCGTGCCCTCTTTTATGAGAGGT